TATTAAAGGCAGAATTGTCGCTTTGGTGAAAATTAGGAATGGGCTAAAAAGAAATAGCCAGGGATGACAATAATTCGTTCAAACATAAGACAGACGAAGCCGTGAGAGCGTGTGACATTGACTATGAATTCTTTGTGAGTTTTAGAATTGGTAGATATGGTGTTTCTTGAAGTCGGAATTCCTAAAAATGCATCAAAGTCATGATAAATGGAACCACATACCTATCTTTTTCATTCGCCTAAAATAGTCATACGGTATTGGCTTGCTTAGTACTACTTATAACCCTCTAGCTAACAGTCCTTACGAATCTGAGAATAGAAACAACAGACGGCAAAGGATACTACTGTTTAATAGCGTCACGCCAGCCAAGTATGTCCTTGTGTGGATGAGTGAGCGGATCATTGGAGACTGATAAGAGCAACCGATGAAACAATGAGATTAGTCATTGGAAGCAATAATATTGTAGGCTAGCTTTGTTGACGCTCAATTTTTGACAATCCACTACAATATCTATCAACACACTTCTAAAATTGGTCCACAAATAGCCTTGGCCATGAATTTACGTTGTAAAAATAAGCTTCACAGAGACCGCGTATTTTGTAAAATCAAGTAGCTAATGTACTTGCTAAACTTTACGAAATTATTTTTTTAGAGTGGGAGATGTTGGTAGATAAGACAATTCTGTTGACACAAACTGGCACTGATTCACACTCTGTGGATTAAACTAAGGTATATAATCAAAAAATCTGCTATCAAGGAAGTAAACTAGAGGTTGATTCTTTGTTATTGATTCAGTATGCAAGACGCAGATGTCTTGAATATTACGTTCACACATAAGATGTTGGCAGACTAATTAATCTCACTGCAAAACCAAATAATCCGAAATGTTAATTTATCATTGATAATACATTATTCGGAAGAGCAACCAACAATGCAATAGTATTGGTGGCATCATGTGTTTCCAACGGTAACCAGTTTAAGGTAAAGTCAACTTAGAAAACTACATTATTTTGATTTATGCGTAATTTATTATTGCTTTCTCAAAAAAACTGGGTCGCTTTTTTGCTTAAGATGACAAACATCGCAAATAAACAAAACAGTAAATAGCTAGAACAAATCCATATTAATAAATAAATAATGTCAACACATAATTTTTAAGAACTATAGACAGTACCAATTTTCGGCGAAGAGTGCAATTATTTACATTAACTTCTCATTTTGCACTGATATGTGCATAAAAAGACGGATGATTACGGCGATCCATGGAGTTGGTGTATCTGATTTGGGTAGCGTACTATCAAATTAACAGTTTTAACATAACTAAATTTTATGAACACTTATGCAAATTGTATAAGTGATTTGTAAAAGGTCTGTGAATTTTTTATTCTACGGGAGGAATTCGGTGATTGCATATACAATTCTATTTCTTATTACGAACAACTTGCGCAGCTTTATTTCAACATTTCGAATCGGCATAATGTTATAATTATTTATGTGACAAGACCTTAAATAGTGTTAATTTTTTTAAATTTAAAATATCCAGCCTTGAGGATCCTTGTTAAGCTGAAGTAACAGCGATCCAGATGGTGATGAATGCTAGGTTTTCGCTGTGGTGATAATTCAAGTAATGCTTGAAGAAGTACCGGAAGCGTTCTATTGGAGCAAAGAACGTGTAGCTGATTGGATAGAGGATATTGGCTACCCATATTATAGAGTATAGTGTAATTCGTTAGCACGACATTTCATAGGAATGTTTTACGAAAAACAACATTGATGGTCGCAGGTTAATCTTAGTTGATGCGTCTACCCTTCCAAAGATGGGTATCCAAAAGTTCGATCATATTTTAGTAAGATTATGTCATTAATATCTAGAATCTTTAGCGTATTTGTTGCATTATTCGTAAACTGCTAAATCTAGAGCCTCCAAACTCAAAGAGAACTATAAGATTGCCCCCTCGAAACCCAACGGGTTTGTTGCATTAAATAGACTCAATTACGTGTGTAGGATTATTCCTAGAAATGAAGTTAATGAGGAATCCTCTGGCTGACCACTCTATTCCCCGATTCGAAAGGGAATCTGAAGGCAAAGTATTCCGAACCACCTTAACCAACATTGGATACATATTTAATTACCCACCGGTAAAACGTTATAAGCCCATAAGCATCTACGCTGGAGAGGGCTGTCGATGTGAATTTCAGGAGAGGGATAAATTTAAGTCTGCTCACACTGGACAACGCCGCTGATTTTAGTCCTTGCCAAATGCCTTATTGAAGGCGTCAAGGAGACACTTTTTCTGATCAGTCAAACTTCATTGTAGAAAGTTGAGTGAATGAATAATGGATTTCTTTTTCTATTGTGCTTGACGGTCAAAGCATTAAGCATCATGCCCTATTTACCTTCCTTACATTAACTGTGTGCCAAATCGTGTTTGGATGGAAATTTACTATGACCAGTTTTTAAACCAAAGGGAAAACATCGCTAAATCATTTCAGAATATTACAAATTTTCGAAATATTTTGTGACTTTTATGTACACGGTAAGTGCCTAATTTTGTACGTATTCACTTTGTTCTGTTGTTATGTAATCATTGCCGTGAAATGGCACCACAAACATTGATAAAAGAGAATGCGTGTACGTCCTGACAAGTCCTTTCACTGAAGCTCACATTAATAGACTAAATGCGGTCACTTCTGTGGCTTATTTTAATGCAGATTTTAAAGTGTCACTTATCCTGGCAAAAATGCGCATTTTTTTAAAATATCTCTTAATTATATTGAAAAGACTGTTTCGGAGATCTAATGATGCCCCTATAAATTTTACTGTTCACGTATTAAAGGTTCACTGTTCACTTTACAATTATAAAATCAACAAAGGGAATACTAAGAAAACATATTTAAATAAATTAACCCATGAATATGTATTGCTCCATGCCTTTAAGCAGAATCGGAGGTATAGGATCTCATATGTGTTTTAATGCTACGGACAAACTGAATACGATAAAGGCCCAAATTCACTTTATCCATACACCTTTTCATTCAGTTTATTTTATTACGTTTTAGAAACAATGCATTTAAAAATAAAAAATAGTAGGTCCTCAATATATAATTAAATCATAGGACTCGATTCAACTACAATTGGTTTGACATGGCAACAAAGATTGTGTCAATCTTATTGCCCCACGTTGTTGTCGCGTTTTCGTGAATAAATAAGATATTTTGCAAAGCTTTCCAAATTGATAATAACCAGATTTGGTCTGGTACAGCTAAGCACACGTTTGAGGGCGGAATTGACTGGCTGTATGGTGTGAAAGTAGGGACAATTTATGATTGCAACTTACGGCTTTTAACCAAGTAGTGTTTACCTTTAATAATCCTAGAGACGGACCTCGTACACGATGAAACACGAGCACCTGCAATATATGTGCTTCATAGTCATACTTCTTAGGTTTTTCGAATATAATAGTTGAGTTGCTTTTTAAGCTTAGAGTTCTTTGAAATGTCACTAAGGTGCTAAGCCGTAGTGTGCTTTTAAGTGCTGCCTTTGAATGACGTCGTGAATCTTTGTCCAGGATATTTTTGAAAAATCAAACATGTTCATGGCGAAAAAATCTGAATTTACTGTAACGTGTTCCAAGGGAGTTTTGGAAGAGGCGTAAAATTCAGCACGCAGTGACGTCTTATAAGTACTTTATAGGCTATTTGAAATACAAACGGAAAAGTCTGCTCCTGTAAAATTTTCCATGATCTGATTCTTCTTACAGCACACAAATAGGTTCCCTTTATAGGTAGCTAGAATCAATGTCAGAGAGGTCATATTTTTGACGAATTTACTTTTAAAAGGCATTGAGAAGTGAGGAATGTGTTCCTATTGTTTTCGAAGGGGAGTTTCTAAGAGCTCTGTCGATATGCGTTAATAAATATTGATACGAAAAGTCACCTTACAACTGGCAGAAGCAAATTAATTGATTCTTTTAACGCAACCCGATAAATCAAGAAGTACGGGGGAACACGAGTATTTTCCGCCTCTTTTTTTGGCATAAGACAAAAATTAAACATTTTCTTGTTGTACAAAATGTCAAAATGAGTCAAAACTTAAGCTAGTGATTACGACATGAAGGTTGATGACTTATTGTGACAGCTCGCTTGCAGTGTCTTCAGATTTGTCCTTATTCAAAAAAACTGGACTGCGGGTGATTGTTTATACAATCGAATCCTGAGTTAAATTAGGATGCAAAAGGATCTATGCTAAGATCAAGCAAAATTCGAAAGTTAATTACCAAGGTTTAATTTGTAATTCATCACTCGTTAGCAACTTGTTTTGGACAATTGTTCTCAATCAACTCTAAATTTACTTCAATGCGATATGACCAATTATTTTGAACATTATGTTTGATGTATTTAGAATTCAGGGTGGCTTAAATGTAATAGGTTAGCGTAGAGGCAATATCCTCCACCAAAATTCTTATTCTAAATAATTAAAGCAATGAGTATTAACTTGGTTATTGACATATCATTGGTTCGAATTTGTGTGGAGTAAATGATGGGAATAAAGAGGAATTTTAATAAACGCCAGTTAAACCGTGATATTACCAGTAAATCAATTTCTTTTGGAAGTATATCATTATGCATCTCCATCTTAATTCACCTGGTGATACAGCCTTCCCAATGTTGAAAATTTAGATGCTCAAACTGTCACTTAAAATCATCGATATTAATTTTTCCAGGATTTAAAATTTTAACGCCTCTTACATAAATTATTCTGCTTAATGCAGCGAAGTTTTGCACAAAGTGCAAAAGAATTTGTGATAGTAGGCAGAATACTGAAAATTCTATTTATCATTTATAAAGGAAAATGGCAATCTTAAGCAAGCAGAAAAGGCAATGATTAGCTAAAGAAAACCTCTCACATGCCATTTCAAACAACGTGTTTTTTCTAAGTCTAGCATTGTGAAGTTGATGTTTACAGTTTACTTTGGCAGGAATACTCATTTCATTCTCAGTCAAGATGGTTCCCGTGGCCAAGTGAGGTTCACTTCCCCTTGCTGTGTCGCCTCCTGCAGTAAGCGTTCGACCCTCCTGTTCTTTGGTATGTCCACTTTTCCTCTGGATTCGGCCAGCAAAGGCAGTGGACGTTGAAGGAAGCGGAAACTGACTGGTTGAGACAGCACCCTTCTGAGCCACCGGTCTCCCTTACGGGGAAAGCCTACCTTTGGATAGGTGTGGAATTGCACTCCACATCCACTAAAGTTACTTTTCCGTAATTCAGACACATCTGCATGCTGGCACTGACAATCGCAAGGGACTATGTATTTTGAGCCTGTGTTCCAGGGGTCCATAAGAGAGGCATTACTTATCTCCTGACTACTGCGATATTCCATTAGTTCGGCGTGTTTGTTTGAATATCCATAGATGATGCCATCGTCTGGGGGTACTGAAGCAACTTTTTGGCGAAGCCGATAAACAAGGTAGGCTAGGATGCATATCACAGTTAGGAGTACTAGGAGCAGAATAATTGCTACAACGATAAATGCAAGGAACCAGGCAAGACTAGAGTCGAAGGATTTGTGTAAAATACTTTGTTCCATTGTCTAAAACTTAAAAAAAGATGCAAATTAATGTCTATTACTGCTTTCTAAATACAACACTAAACAAAGTTCAACTTTGGATTCCAGATTTAAAATCTTCATTTTTGGTCTGATTTAAAATACGTTTCCTTTCTGTACTCTCAATCAGATATACATTTGCTGCTTATTAAATTTGTTATCAACAAAAAATGTTTTGCTGATTTTGATTAATTCCGCTGACTATCCATTGGTTTGAAGTTAACAACCATAAGGGGGTCCACCAAACCTGGTTCAGTTCACTTCGCTGAGATCTAAACCCTTTGAGGCAACAGTTTCCACTGAAAAATGAATCCTCATTTAGCAAAACTAGTTTTACTACCCCTACTACGTAGTATAAGTGCTTTCAAAGCGGTCTGTATAGACAGGCATGGGGTCCTCAGGGTAAGTTTAATCGTCTCACTCTAAGGACTGCTAAGTGCCTTCTACCTTTCGTTCTCACTGTCATGTGTTTCCTGCTTTATCAGAAGTAGCAGAATTTATTTGCGCAGATTTCCGAGTTGTGCACATTTACTTGTTTCTTTTCAAATCATGATTGCGCTAATTTATTACAACTTACATGGCATTCAGTAATTCATTTTCCAAAGACTGACTCACCAATCGAAACTGGATCCAAATCCGAAAGGAACACGTATTGAACCGTATTTTGTACAGAAAAATACTGATCTGCTGGAGAAACCTAACTGTTTACCGATCCGTTCAAAATATGCTTTGAAATTTCCATTATTGATTTGTTTTAAGTATAGACTCAAGAAAAATTAAAAATTATGTGTGGTTAGCGATTTGCTTTTGAACACACATAATGTCCAGGTGTTTATTGAGGAAATAAAATGAGAACGTAGGCTATAACATAAATTCGGAAATTTTTACCATTTCGCAAAGATACAAAAATAGGGATTTTGCACCGTCTACCCAGCCTCCTGTACGTAGCGATATTTCGGTAATTTTAGATTAGTAACATCTGCACCCATCTGTGAATTTCTTATGGATTCAATTCTTGTTGACTCATCGAAAACATATGTGGTTCCTTTAATGGTTAACCGAAGCAGATTTACAGCGTTTTCGTTAGGTACACGTTTGTTAAGATATGCTAGGGAGAGAAATACGGTATAACTCTAATACGGCGAGGTTAAACTAAGCGATGTTTCTAATAAGTCTGATGTACATGCTTAAACTTTTGTTGTGAATTTAGTACACTTATAACCCGCCAATTTTTTAAGAGCAAAAGTGACCTGCGGTCACATTTGTCACGACGACGTGAAGCACGAGAAGATGCAATAGTTGTGGTGCTGGCAATATTTGGAATTTTCTGCTATGGCCTAACTTCAGGAAGGGAGATTTCGTTTTTCTATAAGTTGCTTAATCGATCATATTTAGGTAAAATGTGAAATATTTTGGATCAGTCGCTCTGTCTGGCATGCGGAATCACCTCGAAAAAAGCTAATTTTGTTGTTAATAAAAGGACACTACTTAATGTTCTATTGCAGGGGGAGTGGATCGTTTCTAAGGGACTGAGGATTTGTCGTTCCAAAAAAATCATTTTGAAGGTGTCTGATACTTTCAACGGGTAGACTCCACAGCTGCCATTGCAGCGCACTACTTTTCAGCAACAAAGAAACTGTGACTGGTTTAATGGAAGTGGCGTGTAAAATGTGTGCTGCTGAGAGCCTATGAAGAGACGAGTCCGTGAATATTTAAGTTTTGTCATTTTACAATTTTTGCAGAAACTGACCACGGAAAACAGCATACAGGAGTGCTGATATCATAGACGTCACTAAATAATCTTGTATCAGCATGCATTCGCTTACATCTTTGAAAGTTATTGCAACTTTCCAATCAAAATGGGAAACCTTTAGTTGGAACAATCTCACACCATTTATTCCCACTAATTTCATAACCAAAATGCTAGTTATTGGTTCTAGGTATTTTCTGCGATCACTTCCACCCTTTTAGCGCATTGGGGTAAAATTCAAATATGAATGCATTAATTTGGTGTCACAATTGGATGATGCACTAAATGGCTTCAGACGCAATGTTGAACTCTGACATGTCCTTCTTGTGACGTCAGATCAGCGCAGTTTTCACAGCAAAATTACAGCTGATTGAAAATAAATCCTAGGCTTTGATTTGACTTTTACATAATATTACTATACTACTATTTTGTTGACTTACTTTATAACCGTGGATCACTTCCGAAAAGAAATTTTGAACAGAAAGCAGAGATCACTTCATACCATTTGTGTATTCACAAAATCCATTTAAACAAGACCACTCAGCCGCCGCATTCTCACTGTCCAAGTCTCGCCTCTGCCGCAATCGCGTCACTGGCGCTTTTTGGTTGGTTGACACGTCCAGAGCCAATCATTACTCCATGCTTCGAATCCAAAGTGAAAACGTCTCATTTATGATAATGGTTTGCACGCAAACACTCAGTATTAATGATTGTGGGAAGGAAAGGTAATAAAACCGTCAGTCGTTTTTATTTTGGATAGTGAGGTGACTAACAGATTAAAATTTGCCACATGGTGTGCTTTCACACAGACCTATGTCCGGTCATCTAGCAGAGTTTCTGCCTCAGGTCGATTGCAGCGAGTATAACTTATTCCTCAATTTCCCTATTAGGCATTTAAGTATTTATTTGCTATTCGTGAAGTGTGGGTTCAACGGACGCCAAGACACCTAAAGAATATCAAGGCCTTTCTTGACGGTGGAGCTCCCCATTTAGTCACGGAACCATGCTCGGTCAATTTTGATATTTCGTTCTTCGCTCTATCAAAGTACTGTCTTTCAACTAGGCGCACAGATTGGGTGGACGTTGTATCACTTTTTCCGCGCATACATTTTCGGTTTTGCAGATAGATACTTAGCAAGGAGGCATGTAAGAACACGGGTCCAATTCCAATCAGTTAAATTTTGGCTGTTTCGTTAAAATACATTAGCTGAAAATAAACTATAGAGCGTCTAAATCAGGATCATGAGCTAGTTTTAACCAGTCTATTCTCGTTTTTCTGTGAAAGGGTATCGTTCCGATAAAGTGAACCTCCTGAGCACCCATAATATTCTAGCGTGGTTGAGGAGTTTTTAAAGGGATTGGAAATTCGATTTTGGCCACCTCAAATCCTAAACGGCACGTGGTTCTTTGAAAATAACTACCTATTTCTTCAAAGCTTTGTGCGTGAATGTAAATTTTCCTAGAACAAAATTTATGACAAATGTATATATGAAAAATGTGAATCTTATTCCTAACCGACCCATACCCTAGCTAGTTCCTTCGCAAATTACATCCAAGTCAACTTGTCTGAAGTCTCATCAATTATTCAAGAGCTCAATAATTACTTATTTGTGTCTCGAAGACAGAAATGGTGACAAAATTGTCACTTCCAACTTTTAGAAAATGCCTTCGTGACCTAGATAATTTTTACAACTTCAACCCACCTGACTAGATGTAGGCGTCCGCGTCTGGTAATATTAGGTTTGAGTAGAAATATGAATAAGCTTTCATATACAAATTAAAATGCAAAAGGTAACATTTTGGCTGGAATACATGATAAGACAACATTGACGATTTGCGATTTCTACCCTTGCAAAATCGTCTGATCTCATTTAATTTCAGCCACTACTCAGGAACCTTGCTTGATCATTTTTTTTATCAAAATGTGATTTTAAGCGGTTTTTTGTTTTTAAATTTGAAAGACAACTTTGCAATTTTATGATTTAGACCCTTAAAACTCCCCATTTCTAAATTTTCCAAAAATTTTTGATTTAGGTCGGGTTGTTTTATATTTCATTTATTGCCATCCCTGTTGTGTTTGCTGACTGTTTTAGGCAGCTCACAGGACCACAGAGAGCAAAAATGATGTTAGTCTTTGTGACGCGGAGTAATAAAGATGGTAGATAAAACTTCGTCCCAGTGATTTTGCGGGACTAAAACTGATTTTGCTTCTTCATGAGTCACCGAGGGTACTGCACGCCGAAAGTCCGAACTCACACCATGTCGCTGTTTAGAAAAGCCAGTTTAAATTTCCCAAAATTTAGGCAACAGTTATTGGCGAGTAAAAATCGCTTTATAAATAAAATTGTTGAAAAAAAAATGAACAGAATTTTTCAACATAAAACTAATATACCATGTTGCCCAAATCACGGGTTAATTTTCCTAAATTGTATTATGTTTGTTGAGTGTACGGTGAAATTAGTTTATACAATGACGTACAAGAAGTGGGAACCAACAGCGTGCCAAAAACTCTGGGCGTGCTGTTTTGAAGCAACTTGGTTGTTTGAGTAGGTATAAATTAACTGCGCTAGTGCCGATTTTGCATGTTTAATTAAGCAGATTGAGTCATTCATCATATTTTTACGTTCGAATATAAAAAGTTTTGAAGTGTCGATATCCGAAAAAGTTTTACTCCATATAGTTGGAATAAATAAAAGAGTATATTTATAGAGTTTAAGGAAATATTTTTGAGTGCCATTTAATCATTTGTGCGTCAAGCCTGTTTTGTGTAAGTGTGAAGAAGGAAAAGTGCACAAATTGGTTAATAAAATTATGATCGATTTCGATAAATGATGTCCAACTAGGTTAACAGCCAAAGCCCCTATATAACACTTTGAGTTTTGTCGCAATGTGTTCTGATTAACTGAAAGTTAACAGCGTATCCTTACTTTAGGATTATACATGCTTAGTTTTTTTTAAAAAAAGCCCTATCTCCTCCTAGTAAGTTCATGTGACGGCCAGGTTGTAAATGCACTCAAAGATTACATTTGGCGATTACCCCAAGCATTAGTTAACAAAACCGCGAGATTGACTATCTGTTCTAGACTATGACGAAATCATAAATGTTAGTGGCAAGAAAAATGATGAAATCGGAATCTGTGTACCACGAAGTTGAATATGTTTCAGGCATCACTAAGAAGAGGTATCTGTAAATACGGCACAACATTCGGGATGCAGGAAAAGTGACCAGTGGAGGGTTGCACGCTCTCATTCGCCAGCAAATTTAATTATCCACCTGAACCAAATCTAATCAATCACCCGATGTATTTAATTATCCAAAAAGAGTTTGGTGGAGGTATTGATCGCCTCTATTTAAATGGCTTGCGACAGACTGAGAGTAGTTGAATACCGAAAACTGTTGGAACCAGATGCTTTTTTCAACTTCGGACGACCCAGGGTCGGACCACCAGGTCTTGCTGTTATCTTTCGTCGTCCTCTGGATAAGGCCATGCTGTTTCTGATCGCACTATCAGTAATAGGCTTACTAGTGCACGCCATTGTTGCTTTTCTCTTTCTTCCTGCTTTTCCGAAGCCCTCCCAAAATGCCTCCAACGAATGTGCGATTCTTATGGGTTCGTGGAATAGTGCAAACACATTGTTGCGCTTCTATGGCGTTCCATATGCTGTTCCTCCTCTAGCTAAGCCTGATGACCAAACTGTTGACCTTTTGAGGCAATACTTAGGCGTTGAAACGGGCAAACCTTCTCTTCGTTGGGAAATGCCCCGGAAGATTAGTGGTATTGAAGCTTGCATTCTAGCACATCACGACCGCTGTAGTTTTCGGAAGAGTCGTTGGACCTGCCAGTTTGGAAGAATAAATCCCATCAGCTCATGTGCCCAGCCTTTGCCAAGAAGTAAATTAGACTTAACTGATACTTACACACTGTTCCAACAAGAAAAATGTCTCCAAATGGATATAGCCACTCCGCTCTATAATGGTGTCCTTAGGCCCGTGGTTGTAGTTATTGCGGGGTTCCAATTTTTCACCGAACCACTGATGCCCCCTGACTACCGATTTCCTGCATACTGGCCTAGCGATGACGCGGTTCTTGATACTGACGTGGTCTGGGTGTATCTACATTATCGTCTAGGTATTTCTGGCTTCTTTTACAACCTTAGCGCCCAGGCAGCATCAACTAATTCGAGTTACAGTGTTTCTTTTGAAAATTTTGCACTTCATGATCAATTAGCAGGTCTTCGGTGGATAAAACAGCACATAAAACAATTCGGTGGCGATCCGAATCTAATAACGGTTCTTGGAGCTGGTTCCGGAGCGACCAGTGGTTTAGCACTATTATATATGCAAGCGAAGGGGGAAAGATTGTTTAATCAAGCCTGGCTATCAAGCGGTACTGTGCATTGGCATACCAAGCGAGACAGCGTTAAGAGCAAGAACATACCAAGTGAAGCCTTTCTGCAGCTTGTTAATCGCTATGCTGGCCTGCATTGCACGACAGGAACGCCAGGTACGATTGTGAAATCGTGCTCACTTAAGGAGTTAAGAAAAAAACTGATGGGGGTTCCGATAGCTGTGTTTAATTCAATGTTTCCCGGTCTTTTCAGTGATGGCAGTATGATTGGTGACATCTTTGGAAGTAATAACAATACTGGTGGCCAAAGTTGGTTAGCAGAAGACGCAGGTTCAGGGGTTATCCCGCCTCCAATTTATTGGACACCTCGGCAAATTAAAAGAATTCTAGCCCCAAGTGAGTCTTGACCTTAAATTAGATGTTAAACCATTTATAACTATATGACAACTTAAACAATACTTCAATCAACTAGCCATATTTTGTACAAAAATGCATTATATGCTTGAAGTCTGTCATGGAAGCATTTTCTATGCTGATTTAAGAGGGGCGCAGACCAACGCTTTGGAGGTTTCAGGTCGTGAATTTTTCCACTGAAGACTTTAATACACGGTCTTAAGATATTAAATGCCAAGAATCCGTTTACAAGCAGGAAATACGACTGAACCACTTGATTGAGATAAATTGCTCTTGTTAAACCAACCGCAAGTTACTTATCCAAAATATTTCACACTAAAGCCTTGTGTCTGCAGAAAAAACCAGATTTGATGGAGTAAGCACAGACCGAGTTTGAACACTGCTCGTCCAGTTAATTGTGCTTCTGAAATCCAGAGCTTTTGGTTAATAAGAATGCTTTGAATGTTCGCCACGCGCTTTATTGTAACGCTCAACTGAAAGTTCTGTGAACACAACTATTATATCGTCAAACCAACGGACTCGTGAACTTGACTTATCGGTTTTAGTAGTCACAGAAGGCTGCAAATTCAGGCGACAAAACACGATAATAAGTACCTTGTAGTGCTAGGAAATAGTTTCACTCAAATTAGGATAGCAAATACATAGACGTTGGTTTCCGTTATTGGTACATTCTACTAACGCACCAACCATATCATTTATTTTTTAATGAAAACAGATGTGTTTAAACGATGATAGAAACAGTTTCACACCGAATTTCTATATCCAGGAGAGAAGCCAATCAAAATCGTGTTCTCTTCTATGCTGAGTGAACTCGAGGGTTGGCCAGGTATGGGTAAATCATGGATGGATCAACCAGATTCAAGTCAAGTGAATCGATTTGCGAAAATGTTGCATCGCTTCAGGAAAGTGGCCCCTTCAAGTACCGTTCAGAGCCTGAAACAGCTACTCAATACGGCATGGAACGAGGAGGTGATGCGAGCGAAAACCGAAGACTCAACAGCTTTTTCTCATCAGCGCCGCAGACAAGAGTTTAATTTGCAACTCATGAGCATACTTCGTTTCTCTTGTCCTCAATCATGGATTCTAACTAAGCTTGCGGCATCTGATGGTGTTTTTTATAAGCTCCTCAACACTGAACCACCTGATCTCGCAGAGCCATTTGCTCCAGGACCCCGACCTGTTGGTAAGGGAACGCCACCACCGAAACGACTTGCTTTCCACGCTCTCGATTTGATGATTTTGACGGGCAAACGGACGGGCTCACGAGATTTTGGACTTGACGAAACTCCGCGGAAAAGACGCTTCAGAACTTACAAAGAAAACCTGAAGAGCATGTTTAGGGCCTTTGTACATGGCGGTGAAATTAATTCGCAGTGTAGAGCGACTGTGACTGGTACGCTCTGCTTTTTAAAATGCTTATAGCTCTATATGGGCCATTAGATGTACACCCAATTAAGCATAAAGCATTAAAGTTGCATATATTTTACTTATGCAAAAAGAGCATTCAAAGATCATTTGACACTGATAAAACTGGTTGGACAAACGAATTAGACCACCGTAGTCTGTCTTGGCCTTTGGGTGCTGGCAGACAGCCCTTGGTCCTGTAAACGCTCTAAACCATCGCCTAAATACCAGCACGTTGCGAATCGCATATTCAAACTACTTTGAAGAGATGTATTTTGAGGCAAATCTCGGAGTCTATTAATGGTATCTTGATTAAAGAAAAGGAGTGCAACTCCGATTTTTAAATATATCTGGAGTAGGTGACCATCTATTTTATTGCTGACACATGAAACAGGTTTTATTCTGTTGTAGATCCATACGGCTGCCGTGTTAGTGGACTTGGAATCGACTCCTTTGCAGAGAGTCGAACTCTAAAGAAGTTATGCAACATCATTGATTGGAAAAAGTGGATTTCACACATTATTGTGCACAACTAAATTTATTGAAGTCAGACCAGTTTGTTTATACAGAAATAAAAGTCAATAGGGCACTTTTATTTCACACAACAAAGTATTTCACACAACGACAGCGCCAAGAAATATATACTCTAGAATATCACAAATGCTGAGACACATTCACCGAAAATAGCGAATCGAAAGTTTACATGATGCTTAGGAAGAAAAAAGTGAAAAAGGAGAGAATAGGTTTACTTTGTACAGGAAAATTTGGAGTAAGGTTTATCACGATTATTGTCAGTTGGAGAAAAGATAACTAGGAGTTATCAGCGGTAGGAAGATGTGTGGATCGCTTTTATGATTTTAGCTTAATTGGTCTAGCATACTTTTTCTAGATGCTGGCGAAAAAATACTGATTGGTGGGGTAACTTTGCTTCCTCCCTATGTTTTCCGTTGTTCCGCAAGAGCGTCGCGTGCGAATGTCTACAAAATATGATGTTTGTGAATCGAAGTTGTTTACGGAAAGGCGTAACATAGTGCTTGTAAGACTGAAAGTCAAACACATAGATTCTCACTGGTTCGGTGATTCCCAAAAATGGACAATCACTGAAATAGGCCCTTACAAACCACCAAAGTCGAAAATATAAAAGCGATCAGGTTTCTCGTGGATACACTAAAAAGTAATGACATCTTATCCATACAAGTGCACTTGTTGATTAAAAAATAAATCAATGTTAGAAAGAGTAGTGTAGACTCAATAGGTATACCTAAAATGAATAAAATTGGGCAAATGTATGAAAAAGAGGCTGCGAGAGGTAGATAAGGAGAGATAAGTCTTTAGGACATACTAATTGCCGGAGTTGCGTTTGGATTGTCTCCTTTTCGGCCGTGAGTTTTTGAAGAGCTTGATTAGATCCAGAATTTTTGGGTCCAGTGGTTTGAATGAGGGCAATGTTAGCGTCTTTTTCGCATAAAGATGCCGTCAGGGCCTCGATTCTACAATTTTAAACCGCATACACGTTTAAGTCAGTTTATTGACATGGGATTGAGTTTAGTTAATCAATTTCGACATTTCGCGTTAAGTGTATGCAGCAGAAGATGCTCAAGTCATCAGTCTATGGAAAACGTGGTCGACGAAGCGTATTTAGTTGAGCAGAATTGTGATTCCCGATAAAGAATATGCAACCTAAAGAATACATTGAAGATTTTCAGACAGTGTCTATTGCCTGAATTTTCACAGACATGGCATATGCCGGTTCAGCGCGTAGTAGCAGTTCAAATCACAACTTCGAACACGTTAGGATCAGGGATGTCATTGTCCACCCCACCGCACTGATGAACAAAGTTAGGCGATCTCCGATCACACACTCAAAAGCCAACCTGTCAGTACAAATATATAACAGCACGACAAACTGACTTCAAATTGGATCTATAGCAATTAAATAATGTAATTTAACAGTCGTGTATTAGAACATGGAAAACGTGACATACTTCGTGGTCAGGATTTCTTCAGCCTGTTGTTCAAGCTGTTTCATAAGCGTCTCCAGCTGCTGCTGCTTTTGCTGAATCTGCTGACCACACCGAGAGTGTTCTGCCTGCAACTTCTCCAATTCTGCACCACCGCCAACCTTTTGCTAAACGATATATCAGAAGAATAGTAGTGGAATCATAGTTTATCAAGCCTGTCATCCTTGGTCGATTATTTAAAGGCTACCCGACTACGAAATACTGACTGTTCCAAGAGCGGTCAGGGAACTTTTTATTTTTGAACTGAATGCTATACACGTTCTGCAGAAACAGAACGGCCTAATTCAACCCGCTGCATCTGCTTCTTTCTACTCTGGTGATTCCAGATTCCATCATACGTATTTGTCGGTCGCTGTTTTATGATACAGAAAAATAGATGTTTTCACTGAATCCACATTCTCTACTAATTAACAACCCTCCTTTCTGTCCGTAGATCTAGCAGCGCCAAATTACAAATTTAGGCAATGCGCAATTCCTAAATCGTGTTAGGCGATATGACATTATTTTAGTAAGTTTATCGTTGATTTACCTACATTTCTTTTAACTCGTAGGTCAATGAATGAGAACCGAAGTAACGAGCTACATAAGTTGTTCTTATGATAGATCAAGGAAAATTGTAAATGAAGTCGTCTTTGTGTCTTTTCAAGTCAAATTACTCTTTATTTACATGGCTGGAAAAGTTAAGGATGTTTGGTTCAAGCCCGCTTCCGGTGACTCCGCTATGGAGCATGTTTGATCCTCTGCGAGCTGGTAGTCGGCGGTTTTAAGACACAACTTTGGTGGCGCAGGTATCCTGTGCTCTTCACCCCCAAGAAAAGTCAACCCCCTGCCGTTTCTTATCTAGGACTCGACCTCTGCTTGGATGACCCCTTTTTTGACTCTCGCTTGGCTCAACATGGTTCGCGACTCCCGCCTCGAATAACTCACGGCAACGATTAGTTGTTACGCGTTAACATTCCTACTATGAAAATGTCGGATGGTGGGACAGACTATCGCCACAACCACCTTCTGACGACGCCCAGTCGTCTCAGACGTCTCTCAGCAACGACCAAATGCCCTGAGTCAATCATTTTGTTCAAACATTTTCAACGCATTCATTGATGACTGCATGCCGACTACATCCGAACCTGCGACATACCTTTCAGACTACATTCGTAAAACAGAGCTGCAGCAAGTCATGCTGTCATCACCTCACACTCAGACTCCCTGCCCCTTCTTATCGTCGCCGTCGCACCTATAAACAGGCACCCCTGCGCATATACCTATCCTGCGAATCATGCCATTCAGGTGCTCGGAAATTTACTATTGGTCAGTAGTTTCCATTTGTCAATTACACGTTGGTGGGCGTAGCGATAAACGTGCTAAACACTGGTCAAAGGTCGTGTAACCGTTATCTCGATCTTCTTACACTTCCCGATTATCGGCCCGCGTGCCAGTACAGCATAAGAGTCCCGATTTGATCCGAGACCTGTACCAAAGGCCTTGACAGAGAGATGATTACTAGGAGTGTGTTCAATTTCTAAGTGACTCGAGAAATTGAGAATCCCTCAGTAGACTAAAAGTTACTCATTATTCACTTCAGTTATTTACCAAAATTGCAAAGTACGAAACTTGCGTAGCGTTGCGTTGATGGCAGTCAAGTTGTAAGTAGATTGCAGCCTCGGCTTAACACTTGACCGAAATGACCGACTTACATATCCACAACGACGGAACAGCCGTGAAAGCGGTTCTACAGCACGAAGTGATCACTTATAAAAAATTTGGACATGAACCGTGCACAAGGCACCGTTCTCTTCAAAGTTGCGCCGCTACAGGCTAGTAATAGCCCTAACGTTTTATTTGCAGATAAGATCGCAGATATTTGATGACACATTAGTTAATGAACGGAGAGACAAGAGTTGTGGGCTAAACATTTTAAATATAAATTCGATTACAAGATAACACGTTTAGCATTTTTCTCAACAAACATATCAAACTAATTCCAGAAATATATACCGGAGTCAATAAAAGCACAATCGCTCTTTGGTGGTTTTAAAGCCCCCACAAACTCCTTCGGAGGGTGATGGTTTAATGAGCAAATGCATAGGTGCCATCAATCTTTAAATACGGAAAATCAGACCATTTACAAGATTAAATGAAAAAATTAACTTCGAATTTCACTGATTTGTAACTGCTGATAACTGGTAACGACACCGAACCATTGAGCTCAGATAATTATAACATGGGGACAATTTCAATAAACTAGACTTTTTCACCCAGTCACAGACTGAGTTGAGTGTACCAATCAGAAACGAATGTTGTGAGGGGGAGGAGGCACCGTGTGCGCATTAGCAAGCGGATAAATGGACGAATAGACACGCTTAGCTATCGGACGCGCAAGCGGGCGGTAGGCATCGTGTGCGGTCCACGCAAATGGCACAAACGCCACTTGACTCTCAAACGCTTCTGAGCCCAAAACTCAGTTTAACAGCCACACTGGAGCATCGGGTTTGTATAGAAATTGATAAAATCGCGGCGTCATCGCTTGATATGCCAAAAATGTCCATCGTAGGTCGTCCTAATATTCTCTGCATTAAACTGGGAAACTGGAATTTTTTTAGGATTGATAATTTTTATTTGGGTGCCAGTCAACTCGAAAATAAACATTTACTAGTTGCCTCGATTAGTAATTCGTGATAATCCCATACTTCAAATGTTGCTCTTTTCAACTTAACTTTACCGTTCTGATATTACTAACTCCAATTTAGGTATGTCTGACATTGTTGATGACAAGATGAATGTGAATAAAAGTAACGGCTCGGACCCTAGCAGACAGACACGCCGGAAAGAAAGAACATCAAAGATCCGGAATGTACAAAAGTTCACATATTACCTGCTGAAGATCGAACTGAGCAGTGTTCTAACAGAAATTCGTCAAGTAACACAAAGAGTTACGGGGAATAATACAACAAATGTCACAGTGAATTTGCGGTAATGCAAAATCGGTTTCTAAGATGCTAAAATGCGACTCTAAATCGCCAGTAGTTTACTTCCTGATCAAAGAGCTAGCCTGTTCGCCAAGTGGCTCCTTTTATCACACTACGTCTAGAATGCGATTTCATAGAAGGAAACTTGTTTTGGAAAGTCACTAGCTTGAGGGACTGGTGGTTGATGTTCTATTATGCAATGCCTCTTTTGGCATGAAAGGGAAAACGGTGAAACTGGACACTGTTCTCAATCTGCCCATCTAAAGGAGTAGTTTCGATGTTTTGGTTTTAGAAACCGAGTTCGTACGTGTTAAAGAGGAAATACGTTTAATCAAATCACAAGACTTGTGAACCCGAAACGTAGGAGTCTAGTTTTTTCAGAATACCCTGTTGATGCAAATAGGACTTACACCCTCAGCACGTAGTTGGCGAACAAGGCGGTCTCTCTCCTCAATTCCATTGCGTTGTTCGTCTAACACTCGATTGAGATCGGCATTTTCTTCTTCTAGCCTTCTCAGCTGAACTTGCAGAGCTTCCAGTTTACGCACATGCTTTTCTTGCTAAGAGACGAAGTTGAGTGAAAGAATTTGTGAGTTAGTTATGGTGTGCACCTTAAATAAACATTACCAATCAAAAGTAAGCAGGTTCCCACTAAATCTAGCCATTAGACAAACTTTACATCTTTAAATCATGCACAATTTTGGCTTAAAACAATATTTATTAGGAATTCACGCAAGGGCAAACGTACAGTGCTGTAAAAACATATGACTGTCTCGGATCTGATACTTGTTACTTAGTCTCGGATTACGCAAGTGGAATAAGTGTAGGCAAGGCCTTCACTGGTCTCAAAATGCTGCTGTATGGTTCACAAGAAAGCCTAATCTGTAATGCGCATACTAAATAACCACTATTTAACACCAGGCATGACTGATCCCAAAAATGGTCGTGACCACGGTATATTCTCATATTGACTAGTTGGAGAAAAGTAATCACCTTGAATTTTGATGCGTGGCCCAAATGCTGTCACATAAGTAACTCGACAAATCAGAAAACAGACCGAGTTAATCATACAGCAACAAGGTTTATGAATTGATCTACGAGGAAGCCTGTGTGTGATTACTTTACGGTTTAGAGTTTAAAGTGCAGACAATGGACAGATCAATTTAACCTATTGTGCTTTAATGAGTATTTGCCACCATGAAATTGGACCACTATTCCTAACCTTGTCAAGAAAACTGAAGACGTCAAGAATGTACAAGCTAAGAATGACTCACGCATTCTTTTTCCAACTTCGTAATTACCGTATCACGTTTATCGAGTTCCTTCTTTAAGATGTCGACTTCCTGTTTCAAACTGTGGTTGGCGGGCTGGCAGTAAAAAAGAGGTATTTGCAGTATGTGGTTTAATTAACTGCATTTCTGAGGATCCAGATGCTCAACAATTGCTTGACTAATTCGATATTTCACAAAATGTAGCCCAATAATAAATAAGGTACATTCAGGACTCAAGAATGCATCTGATCCTATAGCAAATTACAACTAGTTATACGGAAGACACCTTTTCCTAAGACTGTCCTCCTTACAACTGAGATCTTGTCACTGTTTTCACAAATGATCTAATCACGCTTTTGCTGGGATGCCCCACTAACAGCTGCCATCTGTGGAAATCCCTCTTACTCCATCAGATCGAGGTCACTCGAAGCACATATAAGCCGTCCATTCTGACGCTCTCCTGGGTCTCTGACTGAGCCAATAAAATCTCTGCCCACGAGGGCCTCTCATTGTCCTCGACTGGGGAGGTGGGGCTTGCGTTAGACAAGGGCAATGCATGTTGGTTCTTTACATAATTGTTTCTGGTTGAGCGAATCGCACCAATTAATTAGACATTTCCGAAAGTACGCAGGAGCTTTTTGTGAATGGAAAGTGCAAAGTTGGGCCCAGGGCCACAGGAACTCGTACATTGGAGTTTTCGTTCAATTTTCACTCAATATATTTTCAAACCATTTTTACGAATACAATGAAACATGAATTTAAATTCTAATAAAAACAGTTCATTAATACACAGGAGTGGTTCAAAAGGAGGTGCCAATTATGGCCTAACTCAACTTCAGGTCACATGGCCGAATAGGCAGATTTTACTTAAAAGGCCAACTGCCCTAGCAGAGCACGTGCACAAGTCCAAGAAGGTAGCAACTTAGCGCCCACAGATGTTTTTGTTTGTGGGCGCTCGAGGTGTTTAAACGTCTGTCTTTATTATAAATAAGCAGCTATTAAACTACTCGAAAGAACACATAAAAGTGCATAAGACCATAGTTATTGCTTCAGAATATATCAATCAATTTATTGGAAAAAAATTATTTCTGTGAAAATTTACTCCACTAAGTGTTACAACTAATTCGATTCCGAAAGCTCATGAGATGCGCCTCCTTACATTGTTGAACAGCACAATGTACTCTGAGCTAAAGACGTCAAGACGTGTGTGAAGATACTTCAAAATTTGCCTTTGGTGATATTCAAAGTCCTTGTTTTTTTGTGATCTCAGGTATTCTCATTATTTTAGCTCCAAATTGGTTTCGTCATGTTATCGACCCAAGAGGGAGGAAATGTAGCGCAGAGAAGAGCACCCTACTCAAAACCACCAAAAGTATTTCAGCAATCATGAAGTTTTTCTAGATTACCCCTCAATTAAGTGAAACAATGTGCCTTAGAATAAGTAGCTTATTGCACACGTAAAGCAAAGACGGAATCAAGCATTTTCGAAGATATCAGTTTAAGTTCAGTCCATCCCTAGAGAAAGACGATGATCCTGACGTAAACCTATTTGGAGCTTGAAAGGTTATGAGGGTTGATCAAATGCGCTTGTGTACCCGAGTTTTATTTTATAACAAGGGCAAGCATCGAAACCGCTTCTGCATCTTAAGCCCACATGGAAAATAAGATCGGATTGTCCGTGTCGACACTCATGGGGTTTCATCACCACTCTCTGCCTAACACTTCACTTCACGAGCTATGATTATGAAAGGAACATTTTCCCGCTAAAGTACGTAGTTTGCATACGTACCTAAAACCTTCGGTCGAATTTACGTGTAATTCGCATATGTATAACAGAGCAAAGTTGACTAAGGTGATGAAAAGTGATATGTAGAAGAGCTACCGGATTGATTACTGAGAAAAAGACCGGTATCCCATTACACAAAGGTTTTTCATGCATTTAAAACACTTTCCTCGTGGGATAGCCTTTTACCAGGTTCAATGGTTAAATTGATGTTGTATGGACACGTATACATTTTGATGAGTTTGAAGACACATTTTTGGCCTATGGGCAAGATTGACAACCTATAAGTGAGTTGTGTATCCATTCCAGATTTGTACCCACCTCATCGAATTTTTGGGGGCGAGACTGCGTTTGACGGACTTCGTCCAAAGCAGACTTGAGATCTTGATTTTCTTGTGACAACTTTTCAATAATTGCAAGGTGTTCCTGTTTCTAAAAAAAATTGAAGATATGTTAGAAGAAGTGGAATTAATGCGAGTTTCAAGGGCAACAGGGCCTTCACGATACCAAAATTAATTGCCACAAAAAACTGAGCCAAACTCTCCACCACCTTATTTATTTTGATACTAGGACCCAACTCACATTATCTTTGATCGACTATAACTTCTAAGGCTTATTAAACTGATATCTATTTGGCGAAAAATTACATTGGTTTATTTACTCACACAAACTTCCTCTGCTGCTTGGGCGCGTGTCATTTTCGCATCAAGCGCTTTTATTTGGTTTCTAAAATCGTCTTCCAATTTCGCGGCCCTCTGTTCAGCCGTCTCCTTGGCATTCAGGGCGGCCTGAAGATCAGACTTAAGAGACGCTATAACCTCGCGGTCTCGTTGGGTCTGTTCCGAGCTGACCGCCTGAAGGCGTTGCTGCTGTGCCTGCATTTGTTCATTGGCCCAAGCAGCTGAATTTCTACGCGCATTATCGACTTCCTGTTCTGCCTGTTGTGCTGCTAATTTAGCCGCTTTCAATTGGCGGGAGAGCTCCTCAATCACCTGGGATTGGTCGTTGGCGTCCTTCAGCGATTGGTTAAGCTTCTGAGTCAGCTGATTAAACTAAAATATGAGTAAGCCAATTCAAAAGATGCGGAAACTAATTGGTAAGAGTTTGTACGAGCTCCAGTAAGGATTTAAATTCTTCCAGATATCCCTGATACGTATGACAATAAATAGGCCGCTTCAGTTGACAAACACAGTCATTTTTAACCACTTAGTCTTTTGTTGATTTTAACGCTTGCGCAAAATCTGTTAAGAGGAAGTATTTGTGCACTTGGGCCTAGCTTTCCACCTTACATGACCTTCAAAACAGAAACTTTGCATGGCTCAATTAGGTTCAAAGTTCGAGTGAAATAATATGCTATTCAGGCACATCCTAGTTTTTCATCGCTACTAATTCCCAATTCTAAAGTAAGTGTCATTTTAAACAAGTCGGTTTAGTAAAATGAAAAAAAAACATTATTTCAAGGAAATGAGAGATGAGGAGTCAGACTACAAAAATCAACGACCGACGCTGCCTATTTTTTATGTTGTTCTTGTCGTTAAAGTCTTTACATAATATGTAAAGTATAATTTGCCTTGCTACTTCATCCCCTCATCCCGTGACAGGCGAACATGTAAGGGATAAAGTGTGTTGCGCCATGCGTCTATAGATCATCACGTCTTTCGCCTGATGGTGTGCATATATTTGTTCCGAATCGCATCAGCCCTTTCGTGGTTATACTGCCCTCCCAAATTCACACCAGGTTTAAAGACAAAACAGGGCATATCTGTTTGCGTAGCATCACCCAAAGCAATGAATAGGAAGTTCACCCACCTGATTTTCTCGAATGCTAAGTTCCTTTTTAACAGTTTCCAACTCGTAACTCAAGCGCTGCTGTTGATTCCGTTCAAAGGCCACTTGGTCTTGCTGCAACGTGAAGAGAATGGTGCTTGCATTCTATTCAATGAATTGCATTTGGCTTAATATAGTTTACTGACGGTTAACCCCACCACAGAGCTAAGGACGGTTTCGGCGAGGTTTCCTAATTTTGCTAATTCTACTTGCTGAACAAACATAGGTACAGCAGGTAGGCTTCATGTGCTTCTATAATTCATTGGAAAAACATACTCACAATGCCTTCAATGTTTGCTGTTGGCGATGGTACAGGAACTGCTGAGGCAGGGAATCGTACAGCCGAGAAAAGTTTTTTTTTAAATATTTCAGTTCCGTGATTTTCAAATTACGTGGCCAACAGTGCCGTTTACAGATCATTGATTGTTTTTATTTGCCTAATTGATACTTCTCGCTAGATGAAGTAATACTAATGCACACACCAATACATTTTAGGAAACACGCTAACTTGTGATTTGAGTGATTCAATTTGTTGGTTCAATTCTGAGGTCCTTTGTTCTAATTCTTTGTATTTTTCTTCGGTTGCGTTCAATTGACTTGTTAGTTGCTCAATCTACAAAATATCACAACAAAAAAATACTGAGGGTATTTAGGTAGGTGACTTGCCTAAGTTAGATAATGCACAGTTTACAGAGACAACTTTGGTCCCCTAATCGCAATCTACAGTTTACAAAACACACAGATTACGTCCATCCCATGATATTAATCATTAACAATCCTAGCTTTTCCAGAGCAAACAAATGTTTTAAAAGAAACATCAGTCAATCGAAAAGTCAACACACCCAGCGACGCCGAGTCTAGGTCTTACAGCACCAGCGCTACACTTCAGTAGCCTCACCTGATGACCAATAAAAATGGATGGAGTTCCTTTTCACAACACTATGACATTGTAGTGTAGCCTTTCATTTTTGACTCATTTGAAAATTATTGAATGCGACTTGTAAAATTACACTTCACAAAATAGAAGACCTCCTATCACTTACTAAACTATCCTTCGCTGTAACTTGTTTTCGTAAATTCTCCAACTGTTTTGTCAAATCGTCATGCTGCCGTCTATAATTCTCCATCTCAGCAGTTGCCTTCCTAGTCTTAAAAAAAATCGACGGTAGTAAAAAGGTTTTTTTATCCCCAAACTACCGAATCACAAATAGGGACAGAAAACAAAGTGAAATTGGGTGTCATCTGTTGTTTCAAGAACACTCAGCTGAATAATAGTTAAAACAGTGCGATTGTGACGCCGTGTTGGCGAGTAACAAAACTAGCAATAGACGAAAAAAGTGAACTAGCTGGGTTTTCGAGATTAAATGGTAAGAACTTTTGATATGCAATGCAGGAGGGAAAAGGTATTCATTAGAAAAGGTCTCTTTAGAAAGAGAAAACCAACACTGAAGAGGAAGGGGTCATTTAAGATGTTCAAGACAGTAGTTATTTTTAAGACGGGTAAAGGAAATAATGAGGACATTATGGATTGAGGGATGGAAAAGTGGATGTCCGGGAAATGATAGGCAGTTGAAGAGTTGAATACTTACTGATTATGTGAAGAAGACCTCGGGTTACTAGTTACCAGCTATAACCTATGCTTACATCCGGGACAAATTCAACACTGTGGTTAATGTATCATTAAGAGGAATAAACGTACCATCATGTCTGGATCAAAATAGCGATCATATTTGAGGAGAATTAACCAACAACATTCGATCGGGCCTAGGTATGTGATGTCATTGATTTCAGTCTCATATTACGTAGAAGCACAAGGGATTTTCCTAAATAAAACTCATATATTTGTGGCAGGTTTCAACAGAACTAGGGATTGGCGACTGAAATTGGGGATCCTATCGAAATATTTACCGATGCTTATGCTACAGTTAACTGGTCAAGCAAAGACGGTTTAAATGTGTTTTTTTGTGAGTGAAAATGAAAACTTACTGCCTCCTTTTCGCAGTTTTGCAAGTTTTCCTCCATTTCATGAAGAAGATCACTTTGATGTTGCAACTCCTCCTTTAGTTGAGCGACTTCGCGTTTCGCTGTCTCAGCTTCCTGCTTAAACTGACGTGCTGCCTTTTCAGCGGCGTCCAGTTGGCCGCGCGTAACATCCTGTTCCCTGTGAAGACGGTCCAGTTCGCGGGACAACTGGCCGCCTGACGTCACACCACTCAGCGGAAGCAGCAGGTCGGAGTAGCCAGCGGCCACGGAGGCAGGACGACCCAGAATGCCACTACCGGTGCTGTAGGAGGACATTCCTCCACCGGAATGTTGAATCTGGAATTCGAGGTAACTGATGGTTTCGTCGTAAACGGTAAAAGTTTTAACGATACAGAATTGCCGCGGAAACTTGTGAAACTATTACATTTTAGGTTATTTGATGACATAATTCACAATACAGATGGCACAGTGGATAAAAAGACCTGTTCTCTACACGACGGGCGGTTTATCACGTCATTCAAATGTCGGGATATTTCCAGTAGACGTGAAGATAATGAGTCGGAATATTAGACCTAAGCAACCTGGATGTTCAGTTCCCACCGCTCAAACCCTATGTAAACAAAATTCAACCACTTTCATGATACTTTATTGAATAGTTATGTATTTTTTCATTAACCACTTTCCGTGCATGTGAAAAAAAGTTTGTTGCCAAAACGCTGCATGAGCTTTTGGTAACAATACTAGTCATCCTACAACACGAATACCATGCTATCTATGATTTAAACTGTAACTTCAATGGCGTAAAAAATTTATCAGAGCCATTTCGATAACCATTGCTAGTATTGGTAGTATCAATACTAGTAAGTCAGCATTTGATATTGATTTCATGTTTCAGTTGCAGCAATGAGCAGATATTAGTGATTTAGTTCAGCATTTAGGATCTTTCCTTTGACACGAATTCCATCCTATTTGTACATTCAAAAGACCAGCGTTGGTGCTCAATTTTGTGGATAAGTATTCAGTAAAGTTACTATTGTTGTTCAAATGAACGTTTCTTAGTTTTGTAGTGAATCGTTTTGATGCACAATCATCAACCTATCAGCTGCATTCTCTAGCACACCATCACATCTTCACAGTGTGGCCGTCAGTCAGTTGGGACCATTTGCTCACACACCCCTGTGCATGAAATACCTCCCCTGCAACCCGTTACGCTGATCTGGCCATTCAGTCACCTGGACTTTTACTAGTTCACCCAAACTATGAAGGTCAACAACTTCATTAGTCACGCACGACTTTGAATTCGTTCACACAACAGCACATTTCGATTAAGCTACCGAATAAACGGTTGTCTCCGCCAGCTGTAGTCGTAGACTTCCCGGTTATCAGCGTAATGCAATCAGACCAATACTACGCAATGGTCCCAGTGTGGTTCAAGGCCACACGCCCGGGCCTTCAACGGTTTGCTCATATGTTCTAGAACAACAGTAATGTCATTGTTTTCTGCAAAATTTCGCAATAACTAGAGAGCCCGAGCAAACAAACTAATGAAAAGCTAGATTCCACCAAACGATAGGTTATACTGAGACACGACTTAAGTTTGTGTACAAAAATGCCTGAGCTTTACAAGTGGCATCGGAATGCTACGAAAATTATATGTTGACGGATTTGATGCTTAATCCACATTTCCTAAAGCAGTGTCATCTAATTCTTGTGACTTATTTTTCTCACCAATACAAGGCCTTAACTCAAACCTATCATTGCTAAAAGCAGGACTCACCATCAAGATTACATTCATCTGAAAACTTCGAGAACTGCCGACTTTGGTTTGCATATCAATTGTGCCCGTACTAGTGTTTGACAAGCAATTTAAAGGTGAGAACAATTTTCCAGACCAAGGATATCAGCACGTGTTTCGTCAAGGGTGTGCATAAAGCCTCTAGAAGACCAAGAGAGTTTCCAATTGGGTCGCGCAACCCTGTCCCTTTCCAAATGTCGAATACAGTGGTGGACAAATTCAAACCGATTGCTTGCATTGTGGCAAATGGAATGTACAAAAGATGTGTCCAAAAATCTCACGATTTTGCGATGGCAAGTTAATAGTTACAATAGAATACTGCCCACCTGTTCAAGTCTGGATTGAAGATTATCACGCTGACTTGCAATAGAGTCACAGTTCGCCTGAGTTTCACGCAGCTGCCGAGTTAGTTCCTGAATGCGACCAGAAGACTGTCGAACTTCTCTCTGTAAGCGTTCATTTCTCGAGTTCAATTCACTTAGGTTTTGCTGCAGCTCAGACAGTTGTTCTTGGAGAGATTGCTGTGATAGAAAAATTAGACCACACAAAATCTTCCCCAAGATAATCATTTCGGGGGCTAAACCGAAACCACTATGGTATCTAGGTACTTAATAATCAGGTTTTAATAGCGAAGTGTGTGTACCGAGAAGGAATGAGATGTTAGAGTTCCCTTCTTGAATGAGACACAGAAGAAGGCCAACTGAAGTTGTTTATGTCTAGCCACGAAACTGTGATGTATGATGTTGGATTGTAACTAAAAAGGCTACCGCTAGACTGGAATGGAATAAAAGTGCGGGATTGTACAATCGATTGCCCACTAGGTGTGTCACAAGGACAGTGCGTGACCACCTGCCGAGCAGTAGGCTGCCAAAATAGTTTGCGAGAATATCCCATTCTCAAGCAGAGACTGTGAACTGCCATGGGTACTTTTAAACAAACTGGCCATGCAAGCTCCAATTTCTCGACAAAAATACTGGTTAACTAAGCACCATCACGAGGCTTCACGGCTTCAGCTACAAGTGGATTTCGTTGCCAACCATTAAGAGTCGTTTGCATTTTAGAGAGGCAGGCGACTGAGTCATGTGTCGATTTTCTTAGTAGACCTAAAAACGCATGATGGCGGTAAGAATGTTCGACTCACCTGTTGAACAAGATGCTGCTGCCTACACTCAAGAAGTGTGGACTCAGTGCGGGCTTGTAATATTTTGTTCTGATTGTTGGCCGCATCGAGAGCCTGCTGTGTTCGCTGGAGACTCAACTTGAGTTCTGATACGATGGCGTCTTTGTCCGAATCAGAAACGCTGGACATTGAGTATATCTTTTCAGCTTGACTAAGTCGCTGGGTCAGTTGATGGATCTAGACAGTTAAAGTGACGTCAATATCGGCAAAAACCAGGGTACTAAGTCTTTAAGCACTAGTAGTATTTTATTGTTCCATTATTTAATTGGGATTTTATTAGCTCCACACCATTTTAGATTCGCAAAAACAGCGGGATCTATGCAAATCCCTATGAAATTTAAGTAAGAGATGGTGAAGTATAAATAGGAACCTCAGATGTTACAACATCGAAGCCATATGTCTAATCACTAGCCCTGGTTTTGCTAAAACTCTCAACTGACGATGCGGTGAATCTAGTTATTTCACAGGCATTTCCACGGCTCAAGCATAGCCAATCCCGCCACGTGTTTGCCCCACCCAGCCCTGCTGACCTCTAATTCTCACACACACTTCACCCCAGACTTTCACACTACTACACACCAACAACCCAGACGCAACTCAATCTGGCCATTAAATTAAACGGTTGTCACCTTGCCTTCTCTCTAGCACCTGGACATCGCTGATAGTTACATGCCCCAACAATAGATTTATGATACTTGCAGTTCTTGCCATCTAAGGGTTCCGATAAGTACTGATATATTTTCAGAATATTACTAATTACTACTAATGTGAATAGCATTATCACAATGCCACAAATACCACGCATCTCGGTCACGTCCTGGCAGTCTTCGTGTGTTTTTATCACCTGAATTCGCAACCTAACATACCGGGGTTCTAGTCTAATCCACTCTAAGTGGAGTTGCTGGTTAAACTGAAACGATTGTGTTCCAGTAATGCTAAAATACCTATGCACTCAAGAAGTTCATATTACTAAGAGAGCATTGCTAGGGGCCTTTTGACAATATCGACGTTATTTTGCCCATAAAACCATCCCTTTGCGAATCCGGGAAATCGTCAGCAAGTACCTGGGACTCTTTTTGTTCGACTTCAAGTTTCAGTTGGTTTACCATTAATTTCAATTTATCTACGTCTTCTGAAGATTTCTGTGAAGGTTCAGCCTAAAATGGACATAAGATAATTATTTTTGTTATGATAGGTAAATAAGTAACGATGAACAACTTACGACAACTGGCTTGGCGGCAACTAAATTCTCAAGTCGCACACGTTTCTTCAGTTCTTCATCATAAGATTTGTTGAGGTTTTCACGTTCATAGTTAAGTTGATCTACCTGAAAGCGTAGTGAGTTTTGAATTACCAGATGAATGATCAAGGCCTAAGAAAATCCTGTCTGACTATTATTTATACCAGATACCAATTATTTTAGGTTGTAAATGGATAATGTCTAGCATCAGTTAAATTCCAGATATAAAAGAGGACCAAATAAATCCTTTAATAAAAACAGCTTAGTTTTGGAGGAATTACTGTAACTAAAGCAGTGGAAGTATAAGGATTATCCCAAAAATGCGAGAAGACACTCTCAGTTAGCGCCGCTTCATCAAGACTTAGTGTCTGCTGAATGAGATGATACAGTAAGTGGCTGCCCTCAGAATTAAGGCAAAAGTTCTGAGCCTAAGCTGTTCAATGGGCAGTGGCTTTAGATTTCCGAAGAAGGATACCGGTTCAAAGTCAATGATAAAAGTAAAGAGGAAATAATATTAGTCCAAAACAAATAGTCACCATTACAAAAGAAGCTTACGCACAGTCTCGTCTATAGCCTTTCAACATACCTGGATTTGTAATTCCTGCATCCGCCTTCGTAGCGTGACCAGCTCGTTCTCCAGTTCAGTATTGCGTTTTCGGAGATTCTCTGCTTCCAGCGTCAGCTTTGCTGATGGCTTTTCCTCAGCATTCTGCACAAATCATTATTGTCCGTTAATTTATTGCCCTCTGAATATACTTCAGTTGCATAAATATGAACTGTGATGTGACCTAGCTTAAAAATTCAGTTCACTGCACACACTTTCTGCAATTTTCATTCAAAAAACACCTAGTAGTTTCGTCAAATATCCGAAATAAAGGCAGCGGTCATAATTTTACGACAGCAATTTTTTGGGTATTTAATACTTTTTGTCTGCGAAACCCTAACGGAGGCCTTGCTCGTTTAACTATATTCGTGGCATTGTTCTAAAAAAAAGGAATTAATGTATTCTTGCCTAACATTTCATTTTTCATCGGCAATACTGGGTAATTTTACTTTAAAGCTGAGATATCTGTGGTGGGCAGCAAGCAAGCACAGTTAGCAGGCGTGCGCAAACACGATTCAATCTATTTACGTGAATGCACTTCCCGTAACTGTGCTCGTTCAGGGATCGATGCTTTGCGAAGCTATATGAACGCACTTGTTACCCTGTTCAAACACACACCATTAATGCATCAGTAAATAGGTTGAGCTACGCGTCCTCTGCATTTCTACTCCTTCTTTCGGTCGGACCGTGTCAGTGTAAATCGCCGGTCCTGATGCGGTTCCCCTAAACCACACTAGGGCGCCGCAGCATATCCAATGATTTGACGTTAAATTGGTTCAAGCTATTTTCAGTGGCCCGTGAGATATCTGATGAAAAAAGACAATAAATTTGTCGCATCATTATTTTCCATTTGGTAGTCATCATTAGGGCAGTTTAAGTTATATTAAAATATTGCAGATCGAACCTGGAGAAACCTAGAAGAAGGCGAACTAGTCACTGGTGGGATAGACTGTTCTCCGCGTTGCAGTAGCCGCTGGCGAAGGACATCACTGTGGCTCTCGAGTTCGTGATTACGCTTCCGCAGACCGTGTATTTCATCCAAAAGGTCATGCTAGCAGGTACACCAGAGAAAAAAGGACATCCTAATGCCAACCATAATCATGCTTACTACTAGGTTATTAGGTGATATCGAGTGCACTTGACATTTTGCATTCCCCAAAACTTCCAGCAGCTGCGAAATTCAACACTGATCGTGGCGAGATAAGCAAGCACTTAGATTGGGAAGACCGATAGACTTTTACACTGAAAGTTATGATTTACATACTACATCACTCGTTAATAGATACAGCTTATTGACGATGAATAATTTTGTCAAACATCTCATGCTAAAGTATAAATTTTTTTAAAAATTGTTAACCAACTTTGAGTTTGATAACGACGCAATACACCCAACATGGACTGAATGTAGGGACAAAGATTGCAAGAATTCGCTAGGTAATTTCGGGAAGTGTCATATCAATGCTTTTTATCACAAAAACTTGCATAAATATGGCAGAAAATTGAGTGACAAGTGATTAACAGAGAACATCCTTGCAAAATACATTTTTTTCCATTTGGAGACTTATTCGTGCCACTTGTTAAAATTGCGTAGAATTCACTCGGACGAACAACGCAAATTAGTCTGATAAAAAGTGTGCCAGCAAAACTAGTCATGGATCCGCGTTCTGGCTCCTTGTTAGAGATTCTGAGTACCCTGACCAAAAGGCCCGGATAAGTGGGACTCAATTAGTGTTTCGGAAAAGATGATTTGTAGTGATACCTGATTTAAGGGTTGCCATTAAGCTCGAATAATCATACCTTCTTACTTTTGGTCCCTCTTAGGCCAAATGTTTTATCGTCACTTCCTTGGTGGTTTGCACAAATCGATATACTCTATGTAAAATTGGTCCCGTGCTGACTTTTGATTTGTGGAGTGACATATAAATATTTTTTGCTTAATATGCCGAGAATCTGGCTTGGAAAATATGGTCCATTAATTCAAAATCCTGTTGCGAATCGCCTTGAATCACACTTGTTAATCCGCATAACCATGTTGACAGTGGGGTTTTGAAATTGAGAAGGAAACAATCAGGCATTAAATCTTCGATTCGATCAACTGAGTTCTATCCTAGGCAATCCCGAAGGCGTAACGTTATAACACCATTTCTAAGGCCTGATGACCAGCAACCTGGGAGCACCTCCACTAAATTGAAGTGAGCTTAGTCCAATTCACCCGACTTAGTTTCTGTGACTGACTATTTATTTGACAAACCTACGTTAAGGATGAGGTGTAAGTGTGTGGAAGTCGACTGGGGACACCATGAGATAATTCAGGTTCAACAACAGCCCTGGTATAAGGAAACTTTTTACAAAACGCTTTTTCGAAAATATTTTTTTAGAAATTGTTGATTGAAAGAGGTCTCTGTTTCATCAAATTGTCTATAGCGATGTTACCCAAAACCAATAACAGGCTGTACGACATAAGAGTTTATCTTCAGAAAAAAATGATACAGAGGGCCTACGCGCACACCAAATTATTTAAACTTCTGTGATTTTGGGAATTTCATGTCAAATTTTAGCATGGACGCTTGTCTTAATTACGCAAGATCATAATGAGGTGTGGATATTAAGATTATGAGACACAAATTTGACCAAGTTAATGATGCCGAGGAACGTGGATATTAAAATTTTGAGTTCTGTAGAAATAAAAGTCAGGTATTGTCAGCTGGGTTTCATTTGAGAAATACATTTCTAATGAAACTAACTGAAACATTTGCCATACTATTACAGTTTTTCCCTATTGTTTTACTACTTGTTTTTGCTCTTTGAGTGCAATTTTAATTTTTTTTCCTAGTAGGCGTAATACTACATTTAAACTGACTTTTGTTTTTACGTATAATTAATTTATGAGCACTTTAGTGCAACACGTACACTTTTATAACATCTTGAGCTGCCTTTGATGTACTGATGTAGCTGATTTCGGTGTGTTGCCTGCACGAAAGAACCACATTCTAGTAAACAAGCGTGGTTTGCACTTACATTTTCGCCCTCAACTTTTCGTAAGCGTTGTTCGCGTTCTTCAACACGCTTCTGGAGGATACTCACTTTAGACTTGTTATCCTCGAGGCTAACTTGAAGACGTGATAATTCGTCCGCTTGTCCATGCTTGGTTTAAGAAGTGAAAAAAAACTACTGTTTAGCTTTTACAATTAAGCCGTCCCATCCCCACCAGTAAACTGAGGCCTTGCAGACACGTGTTTTATTCTGTTAAAAATCCATTTATCCGTTTACCCTATAAACTTGCTTACTATTTCAACCAGAGTGCTAACACCTCAAAGCTAACAAATTAATTTTTAATAATAAGTGAATTTTCGAGTATTTAAAAGGAGGGAATATTTGTAACCCTGCTACAGAAGTTTTGACCTTTTACTGAAGGAAATCAAGTAGATATATTTCATCAACTTGAAAGGAATCGGAAAGTGAAATTTTTGAATAAATCTTACAGATTCAAGCTCCAGCGTTCGTAATTTATCTGTTTTCTCAACAAGTTCGTTATTAATTTGACACCTCTCCACTTCGATTTCCTGAAGCCGATTCTTGGTGTATTCCAAATCGGATTTCGCCTTTGTCTGTTAGGAGTGATAAGGATTTGGGGATTAAATGTGGATACCGGTAATCTCAAGAATATCAAAGCGTTGAAAATGATTGAACTGCAGTTTCCATCGAGTTACCTGGAGATTGGCTCCAGTAAAAGTAAAGGATAAAGTTGCTTATATATTTTTTAGTCAACTAGCGTGAGAACTTGACACACGTCGAGATATGTGGATCAGAATAAAAAGTGACTTAGGAAGATTTAGACAAATATATTAAATAACAACAGGACTTACCAAATCACCACTAAGTGACTTTAATTCGTGTTCCTTTTCATCAATTGTTAATTGAAGGTGGCTTATCTGGCTTCCCTGCTCCTGCTGCACAAGTCGCATCCTCGAAATTTCGTCTGCCTAGAAAAAAGTGGTCTTGGTAACACGAAAGGGCTTGGTTTAGCACTTGACTGTACTTCGGCTTCATGTAGTAAAGTTAAAATATCATGGTTGTACCGAAAACGATGCTGCTGCTCTCAATTAATTGTCTTTAGTATACGCTAACAGGTAAATCGCAGTTATCGAAGGCAGCTTTATCACTCGTTGAATTTGCTACCGGTGTACAGGGTAAGTACGGTCGAATTTGTCTAGTATATCGTTGTGGTTACGCCTTGCTATTGCTTTGAGAGTGAACAGTGATAAAAGGAGTTACCCTCTCAGTGGTCTCATCAATCTGTTGAGGTATAGATTTCCATGATAAAACCAATGATAATAATAATGGTACAAGTCGATACTATGAATTTAAGGTGCTTAGTTCATTCCCCTTGCCTGCATAACAGAATAATATATCTTACATGTTGGACTTGCAATTGTTTTGATCGCTCATCTTTGAAAGTGATTTCTTCACGCAGAGATTTTATTTCAGTTTCAATACTGTGAATCTTCATTTTGGCATTCACGTTTTCTTCCTTTTGTCGGGACTGAAATAAGCGCGCAAGACACTAGAACAGTTACGTTTTACTATCATTTATGTAAGACGGAGGCTTTGTCATATTTACTCAAATCCGTAAATGCTCACTTAACTGTCACTACAAAGACAGGGGTTAGAGCATTCAACCGAATGCAAAACTTGTTGACTTTCTGGAGGCTTAAGCAAGACAAAAGCGTTTGTATCGCTTATAAAGTAGCAAAGGGTTCTTGCGATTTCTGGATGTGCTGCAGCGGCTGGGCAAAGATTATGTTTGACCTCAAATTATCGTTTTACAGAAGAGTAATAATCCTGGTCCCCTGGATGTTACAGATGCCAACGGCACTAGAAATCCAATTCAAAAAAAGAATTACACGTGGGTAGCTCGAAAAGTATGTGGTAAATATTGCTGTACTTCATCCGGTTGGAGTCGATAATTGTTTTGTATGCTATCTTACCAATTCTGTTTCCTGTTGTTCCAGCTTTCCTTCCCGATCCTGAAGGGTTTTGTGAAGGTAGGTGACGCGGTGGTTCAGTTCATCTGATTCCTTCGTCAGGCGTTGAATTTCATGAATGTGATTGCTTTCCTGTGAATAAATCGATGTAGAACGTTGTTGCGCTCGGTGTTCTTTTTCAAATCATCATTAGTTATTTATTATTCATTGGACACACTTTTTACTAGACCATTGTATGCATAAATCAATGTCAAATTACCAATAAAGGGTCCACCTAGGAGGTTTAAATTATCTTCAAGTAATTGGCAGTCTACGACAAGCTCTACGATTTTGCTAAGGAATGAGGCTCGTAAATTAGGAAGTGATTCATAATGAAGGACTACACCGTGACAGATAAGGTCAATAAACGATGCGTAAATACGATGATTCCTTGCCTAAGATTCATGTACTATTCTTCTGAAGATAATTTAAAGGTCTCTACAAGATCTCGTGCGCCCTAAATGGTCGCATGACTGGAAGGGACATAATTCCCAACATAAGCCTCTACGGCATCAATCCGTAGTCTTAAGCAGATAAATCCATCCGATAGGAATAGCAATGGAAACAATTTTTACTATTCTTAACTCTACTTATGTACCATCACGTTTTTTCAAGGCAAACCCACAGGAAATGTTATCTAATAAATGAAGTATGTGGAAATTGTAAGAAAGAAATTTAGGGCGACAAAGTTAACCGCAAATGAATTTTTTTTAGGTTGTCATGAAATTTAAGAAATTCTTCAGACTTTTTTCGATGGCCCGAATGAACACATGGATAATTTTGGGACAAGGACAATTCAAACGTTTGGTCCTAAGGAATCAAGATTTCGCCTTATTAAGCATCAAAATTTCAGGTTTCAAAAAGAACCTTTTTATGAAGGTCATTTAGCAGAAACACAGCTTCACATATTATAATTAAGTATATTTGTGAGGTCTTTCACGAATCTTTTTTTAAAATAGTTAATAATTACAAAACTCCCGGGTGTTTGAAAGATGCGATTATCAATTGGTACGAGGTAAAGTAAATGTAGAGAACAATGCAAGTGAATCACCTAAAAACCAAAATTTAATTTTGCATGTGGCTTAAATCGGTGCAGGCTTACAATGCTATGATGTGGGAGTACCATGTTTCAGCTAACGTGTTAAGCACTTTCTGTGACAGACTCATCTAATCAATTTAAAATACTTATTTTAACGTATAACATAAATAGAATTGCCTGATTATAGCGGATCACGAATAATTTCTTTTACACTCCTTACGAAGTTTTCCCGTTTAGTACCCGGGTTTTAATACAGGATGTAGGTAATTATCATGTCTGCACCAAATATAAAATATGATTTTACGCATTTTCAAAACACCTAAAACATTGCAATCGAAGTCTTGAGGATGAACTAGCAAAACATAAAGTCATAGGTCTAATGGCTTTGAAATCCATTAAAATAGGAAAACAACGACAATGAAACTGCTAGAAGAATTGATTTTTTAAAGTAAGCGCAATTAACTACTTGTAAATACCACCAAGTAATTAGCACACATCAATCACACCTAACCCATAATAAAGGCGAAAAACGCAGCCTTGGCTTAGGCTTCAAAGAGGGTAAGCCTAAGTACAAGTAATAAATCAAACTATCGTTCTCATTAAATGATTTCTACTTCTTGGTCTGTTTGAATCGTAACCGGCCGAAATTTGTAATCATCATATTTGTGTGTAACTTTCCTACGATACAATTTTAAAAAATGAAAGGATTGACTTACACAGTCACGTTCCATTTGTTGTAATTTTTCGGTTTTTTCAGTAACCTGCCCAAGGACGTTGTGATACTTCTTTTGCAGGTCCTCTAAGTCCGAATTTATTTTAATCTTTCAAAAGAGCAAGCAAAGATTCAAGGACAGTTGACATTTACGTAAAATTAGTGGCCTTAACAATCATGTACAATGCTTGCCACCATTTATTTCAAGTAGATTTGGAATGCATTCTGCGAAAGCCCCACGAAATTACCTTAGCGCACTTGGTACTAAGGTAATTTCGTGGGGCTTTCGCAGAATGCATTCAAATTTATGTCGTGAATGAAATTCAACCGTTTGGGGCGATTTTTTGTGTAAAGTGAAAATACTGCTGACTGAATGGGGAACTAATCTCTGCATCTCTAAACATTCTTGATCCTCGGCAAATGCAAATAACTAAAAAAGCAGTAGTGAAGTTCCGAATTTTCAGAAAATTTAAGGTTTAATGCGAATGCAGAAGTATCGAACAGGGTTAATGGTAACTCCACCATCCACCATCCGTCAACACTGAAGAAACCTATCGCTGGGAGATTTAATACGTGTAGGTAACAAATAAGCGACATGCGTATAAAACAACCATAGACGATACGTGGATAATCAAGCAAATCAGTTAATTTGTTAAATTCCCGCAAAAATGTGTATCTTTAAGTTGGTGATTATTTGTCACACGAAAACGGATATTTTCCGCAATCCAAAATTCAATTACTTTCTCAAATTCGAGGAGCCTAATTTTGTCTTTCTTTTCCTGCAATTCGGTTTCCGCGACAGAAGCTGTCGTGTTCATCCGCGCTAATTCATCCGCAGCTCGAGCCGTCTCCGCACGCAATGTTTGCTCCTAACACGAAATTTATGGTAGAATCAAGTGTAGGAGATACGCACAAAATAACCTTGCTGCAGACACTCATGAACTTCTACTATTGTGCAAATCATAGATAAGAAATATAACTGTTAAAATGCATTGAACCTTGGTATTTTAGAATCAATAACAAAGTTTAAAAATGCAAAGGAGTTTCTGTTGTTTCAGTCTCTAAGCAATATCGTCACATAGTTTTTTACTAAGAAATTGTATAATTTGGAGGCTTACATACATTTCAAATTTATAATGCAGCATCATCAAACAGAAGTATATTCTACAAAAAAAGTTAGCCAAATCATTCTAATCACACGCATGCAATCCTCTTCGTAGTTATGATATGAGTCAACTTAGAAATATTGTGTTGGAGACTTGATCTACACTTTAATACTACTTAACACTGAAGAGAATTTAAATGACAATTTGTTGGTGATATTGAGGGTCTAAAGTCGGAGGTGCGAATTTCGTTGATAAATGGTGGTAGTCAGCTTGAATTTGCGTTATTATTTTCGTCCGGTACACTTTCAGCTCTAAAATCATGTTTCATTCGTCTTATTTCATAAATGTAGAATACAATGTTTTCAGCTGTTTTTAAATTGCGGGTTAATGCTTTGTGGAGGATATATCCCTAATGAGAGTGTATTTCGAGTGGGTTATTAGTCAAAGCAAATCTAAAACTAGATTCTTCATATTGGTTTTTCTGCATTTGTCAACAAAACTAATAAAGAACTAATCGAACAGCCAATGTGTCAGTGAATTGATAAAACTTTATGGAATTTAATAAATTCGTCGGAACACAGCTATGATGACAATTTGTAACTCTTTAGTAACGAAAGAAATGAATTTAGGTTTCACTTACAATTGATTCGCGTTCGTCTTTCAATTTGGTCAACTCAAGTTTAAGCCTTTCAATCTCCAAGGTGTTGGCAGTTGACTAAAATATGCAAGACGGCAAAGGAATGTGTTAACGTGATTGAAAGTAGCAAAACTGCTTTAGCACACCTTTCTCGCTAATGCATGTTTTGTTTTGACGCTGCTCTTTAGATATGTGTCCTTCTCGAACAGATATACAAACCCTCAATTTTTCATTCTTACGAAAGTCAAAGATACTTTTGGAAAAACAAGTCGCTGTTGAGCGAAAAATAATTTACAGATTCATAAAACGTTACCCTTGTGATAAACGAAAAAGTTGTAAATTATCATGTAGGGGACATTCAAAAAATACCATCAAGTGCCCTGTCCTCGATATGTCGTTTAGTAAGTCATCATGGCCCATGGTGGTGAAAGTTTGTAAGCCAGCATATTAACTTTTCAAAATTAATTGTAGTTTATATTTTGTTCAGGACAGACACTAGTTTTGGTTGTGAAGCGAAATTTTCCAACGGGTTTGCAGTCATGACCTCGCATTTTGCGTGATGTTTTAAATAATTTTCGGTTTTCGAGACAATTAGCAGCAAACACAATCCTTAATCTGCCTGCAACACCATAGGGAATCAAGAAATTCGTTTACAAAATCTGACGAGTTTAATTGCTATAAATAGATAAATTGTATTGGAATGCATCAAGGTTACGGCAGAAGTTGACAAAAAGTTGCCATTTTGTCAACAACTTAAAACTGACATAATTCTGATCAAGGTGGTTTATTTTATAATTTCCGATGCCCATTGAATGACTTTATTATTTCAAAGTGTGCTTTCTGGTGTGCCTTGATTGACTTTGTAAGTGTTCACTGGAAATGTGCTTCATTCGGGGAGGCAATTTAATATACCTATCAACATTCCTCTCAAAATCACCCCTTGGTATCTTCGTAAAAGTGAAAGCGCGCGACTCACTTGCGAGTTCTGCACCCGAATAAGCTCATTTTTGCGTTCCTGCAGGCTCGTCTGCAGTTGCATCAACTTGCCTCGCATCTCCGTATTGGCTTGACGAAGAGTCGTCAACTCGGCCTGAGAGATCGGCATTCCTGAAGTGTGTGACTGCCAGTCGACCAGGCCGCCCACTCCAGCTGCCGCCTAGAGAAGCAAACCGTGCTGGTAAGTGGAACATCAGGAGCATCGGTACCTTCTCCTATTCCGTGACACAAACTCGAAACAACATGTGGCATTCATTTATGTATCGATAGCGCCAAATGTATTATCATTTCGTAGAGGAACGACTAGACTAGGTGATCAAAATGCGCTGCTACTATTTACAGAATACTTTGATGTTATAATGCTCCCAGTCTGCTTGAAAAAAAAGTGCAGGAAGAGCTAACTTTTTAAACGAATGATAGGAAATTACTCAAACAGAAAAAATCGCAGTTCATTAATTTAACAGCCAAGTTTCTAAGCTGTCACGTGACTGCTTTATTGCCTTGATTACCAGACGCCAAAAGAAGGGGCTGTAATTGTCAACCCTATAATATTTCAGACGCTTCTCCTTGCCACTCATTTTGGCCTTGACAGGAAAGTGTGCTGTTTTGAAATTATTGCAAAACAGTTAGAAAAGAACAAACGGTGCTTACTTAAATGAATGCTCGGAATCCTCATTTAATATCCACACTCTTGAAATCGACTAATGAAGAGTTCTGTCAATCGCAAAATTTTCGAACTGAGCAATTATCAGGCTTGTGCTTACAAAAGTTCTTAAAGTGCCTTAATTTCCATGAATAAGACTAGATCTTATGTGTCGATCGTTGATCAGACAAAAAGGTTAGGACCATGTAAGTAAAGTAAAAACGCTTATAATGTATTTCCTACTTTATATCACCGTTTTAATGCTGGTTGCCTGTGCCTAAGTTGACCGCCAGCAAACTCACGTGAAACGGCGATTGGTCTTACAGGTTTACCCTTACTTTTCAATGGTCTTTGTTCACACGTGCTCCACAAACACGTTCACATGCGGTCATGGACACAACATGCTTAATAGGTGAATAAAAGATCGTGACCATATTATCGTGCCACATTGTCACCGCCCTCTTCATTCTCTAGTACAAAACCAATAATCAGGTGGTAGTGTTGCTACCCTTATTCCAGCTCCACGAAACACGAGTCGGCGAAAATTTTAACGCGCCCTAAAAAGTAATCTGTTCTCAATTCAACCAACTGATGTCTGTGAGTAGTTCACTGCTAAATTTTGCAACACCAGAGCTCAAAACTAGGAGAAAAAACAGTTTCTAAATAATAGATTCAGGCATGAATGAAAGCACATTGCAGTCCAACCAAGGTCTTTAGACTGCCGTTTAACTTTTCAATGGATTTCTTTAATAAACCACTAGACTCGATGAGGCGAATCAACCGAGCAAGAGCATAAATTCAGTGACTGAAAAAGATCTGTTTGCTTTTAGAAATTTCCATAAAATGAGTGATGTGAACAGTCGACAGAGTCCAAGTGGATAAGAGAAGCATTCTTTATGAGTAAAGCTAAAATGAGATCTGATTCCAACTTTTAAATATTCAGATGTTTTGGTAGAACAAACAAATACATTGAAAACCAAAAACGTATTGGCCAAATATGCTCCACCATAGATTTTTCGAGGTAAAGAAATGCAAATCAAATCAATTCTGAATGTATATAAATAACGATAATACTGGGGTTTTGTAGCAAGCGGTTTGCAATTCTGCTATTTTCTAAAAACATAAACCTTACCTGAAATATCGATTGGCTCATGGACACTCTAGTTTCAGCATTTCTTTATATCCCCAGCAATAATAGATTAGAAGCACATTAATTTCGTTGCATTATGCAAATGTGTTTTTAAATAGTTTGCACGTTAGAAAAAGGATGTCAACACACTCGCACAAAGTACCAAGGGACTACAAAATTACATTTTATTGTCAATGGATACAAATAGAGCGAGGAACTTGTCTTTTTAATGAAGCATACCAGGTTGTTGTAACACTTTGCTTTTCTCTAGCGGTCAGATCTGCACATAGATGCTAACATTTCAGGGAAAGGCAAAATTTAGCAAAACCTTCTAAGCATTGATTAAATTGCGAGAGTCCGTTAACAGAAATTCAGGGTATCGAATAATTTTTCAGTTCTCTTCATTGATACAAATGCGATTCACGCAAATAAAAATAATAATAAAACAATGTGTTAGTACAAATATGCGGAAGAAAGGAGTCTACAATATAAGCCAACGTTCATGAATAAGAAGCTAATCGTACACAAAGTGGGAGAACGTTTTCTTGCCTTTGAATTAAATATCGGTGAAATTCGCTTGATCCATGCGGAATACAACTTTTGGTATTTTTAGTGAATCCAAGAAATCTTAGGTAATTTTCAGCTGTTGCATGTCATTAAACATTGACAAACTGTCAGAACTCTCTCGGATCGTTGATCCCGCTTTAATCGTGGATTCGATTTTGTCACCATCACCACATAGCCAAAATTTCAACACAACTGAAAACATTGTTGAGATCTTACGCAAACAATTCGAGAACGCATATCGTAAGGGGCCCCTTTGAGGGTTAAACGTCATGAAACTCGTAAAATCTTTATTGAAAAAAAAAACAAATCAAACTTTCTTTGTAAAATATCTAGACACAATCGGGCTGTCGAACATCTTGCTTTGCGTCTAAATGCTTGTGTAAGTTAAAGACAGGCTAGATTACCAAGGTAATTATTTACTTCGAATAAATCGGGTTTTCATATTTTCACTAATCCTACCCCATGCTGCAGTAAACAAAAACTGAATTTGTACTAGTTTAGAAGAACGCATGCTGTGCTACTTTGATTCATAAAGGCATCTTGCCATCTAATTAAGGGTAATGAGCAAAGGAATTAAATTAGACCACACATTTAAATCCATATGATTAAAATATAGTTAGTTTTGTTAAAGTGGCTTGTCGAAAGATCATTTACAAATTATAACAGCCTAACAAAATGTATGACAATGTTGAAATGAAGGAGCGTCGCTTTGGACAACCTTTCGTACCGACTCCACTGTTTTGAACATATCAGTGTTACACCTAAGATTGACTTTGATTGAAAATCATTGTTGGTAGACAATTGAAAGTGCGAATGCAATACCTGGGCCGCCTCCAGTGCAGTGAGTCTTGTTGTTTTGTTGTCAAGTTCCCTCTGGAGAGATTTAATTCGTACTTCCATCTCCGAATTCTGGAAACGAAGCCTTGTCAAATCTTGAAGTTGTTGCTGTAACTACGTAAAAACGCCCTTGTTTAGACATTTCTTTTGACAGCACAACTATCGCACATGCAATGAGATTATAGCAATCAGCATTGCTTTCATGTGTAATTGTTGATAGGTGTTTGGCTAGGTTTGATTTAACAATAATATATTTCAGTAACAAAAACTTCAAAGTTCTCAATTTCATCTCTCTTATATACCTATAACGAAATGAAAGTTACCTAAACGCAGTGGGATTTGGACCTAGAATTAAAATCTTCACTTGAACAGTTTCGCATGTTACAAAATATACATTGCGCAGGTTAGCATGGCTGTGGGTGGTCTTAAGTAAGGGAAAACGGTACACTAGCATCTTAGGAATTGTTTGGCACATTATTACAGGCACACAGGACTAAATTAAATATTGGTACTGTGCTGCCTGAATCATTCCGGATACTACTTCAATATTTCGACATGATTCCAATAATTCCGAAAAAATGCCTAAATTGTTCGAAATAGCCCAGCACATTTAGATTGGCATGTACTTTTCTTGGAGCACGCTAGTGATTGCCTCAACGGCATCTTTAACTACTCACTAGTGTTACAGTAAGAAATTGATATTCATGAAGTCAGTCAACTTTTAATTAATTTTGCTATACAACGCGATTCCGCTCAACTAGAATCCACACTCCTGATTGAATTATTTAAAAAGAGGTCGAATTTCTATTTCCCATGCCAAGAAGAAGGTCTTGTGAAATAATGAGTATTAGGTTAACTAGAGGAGGATGTAAGAAGAAAATATCCTACCATCGTCTCCTTTTCATGCAACATTCTTCCAAGTAAGATAGAATCCGTACTTTGCATTGGCACATTTATTCCTCCTGAGGTTAGCGCACCTGCAGGTGTTGACGAAGACCCAATCAAATGGAAAGCACTGCCTGAAAAATTTGGGGAAACGGTCCCGCCAGCAACACCTGACTGGTCGAACGTGAGGGGCGGCAGAAGACCTGGCTGACCTGAGGTCCCAGCATGACTCAAACGTGTGTGAGTCTTCGCCAGACCTGAGGTAGAAACACCCTTCTGGGAGAGGCTTGGAAATAGTGGAATGGTAGCCAACTGGAATCAGACATTAAAAACAGATTTAATTCTGTTGGTTTGGTTTAGCAACGCTATAAAACAACGACACTAGACTGTTTGATTTATAATCCGAAATGGCGGATGGTTTATTTCTTGTAGTAACGTGCTTCCGGTGTAGTAAGTCACGAGGCTCAGCCTTTAAAAACGCTAGCCGTTGAAATTTCGCTTTACTTTTAATTTAAGTACCAAAGAAATACGTCGGCGTAAACGTTGGTTTCTTAAGCCCCATGAGATCTCTACTGCTACCATTGTTGATCCTGCTTTAAGATGTCAAGTATTAATAATATTATACGAAATTAGTGTCCTGCATTTGACTTCTGCCGGCTTAGCCGAAAAGCAAAATGCCATTGATGTCAAAGGACAACGAAGATGAAATAATTGCATCGGCAGTTATGATCCTTTGCTTCCGTTGCATAATGGTTGAGGCTTGGATAAGCTGTGGTGAGTTGAGAGGACAACAATGAAGTAAAATACGATAGACCACTGTTCTTTTTACATGACAAACACGACAGCGTTAGGTCAGATTCGGGTGCTTGGGTTGAAACAGGACTTCGATGTTCCGCAGCCAATACAGTGATTTATCTGACTCCATTTGCGATAAAATTAATGACTATTTATAGATCTAAGAAGCACTGAAATAAACGAGCAGATTGGCTTCAATCCATCTGTAAGACGTAATGCGAACTCTCTTGTGCTTATTCAAAACTTCTAAGAAAACAATGGATTTCAATACGAAGTTGCATTTCGGAAGAGAGGCATCACATATTGGACAAATTTACAGACGTTGTAAAATAGGATCATAAAATATTAACATACCGCTGACTTATCCTGTTCCGTCAAATGCTCCTCATGCCCTTGTACAAGCTTGACGAGGGCTGCTATTCGCAGATTGGCATCCTGATTGGCTCTTCTCAACTTCTCCAGTTCGGGAATATACCCCTGGAACTTAAATTGAGACGGTAGCATGTGTAGAAACGGACTGTGTACTTCACTGATTTGCGGCACGAAAAATGCCTAGCCTATATTTCAGCCGGAGGCGTAGGCAAATGGCTACGTACACCCGGTGGAGTTTCTCGGTCAAAAAAACCGCTCGTGCGGTTTATTACTTTCCCGTTTATGTGGCAAAGGAAGAAATTTAATGCGCGTCCCAAATTGGAAATTTTTAGATAGAATTAAAATACTAAGAAGAAAGGAGAAAGCCTGGGGGCTGAAAATAGTCTTTTGAACTGGGATTTAAGCATAATCGAATCATAGGTCATGAAAATGGGCAAAAGTGGCATAAGGCTAACCGCTAATTAGTGCTCTGAATCAAAAAATAGCTTTCAGAGATACACCAATACTGAGTGTCTTTAAGTCGAATGCCTAAAAATGCAGATTCATAGAGATATTCAACTGAAAAGAAATTAATTTAAAGGTGTGTGATGAAGAAAAACATCATCGACTGCGCCTGAGCAACTACCCTTAATTTCTTTGCCCTTTCATGAAGTTAAAGTACAAGCTTAAGTAAACCATAAATTCAAACAATTACACAATCCGTTTCGAGATTCTTCAGCTGCCCTTCCCGATCGCGAAGCTCCTCCTGGAGACTAGCAAGTTGTGAGGATAGGTTGTTGCGCTCCCTCTGAAGGTGTTCAACGGCAGAGCGCATTTCCCTGACCTGAGCGTAAATCAAAATTGGTTTAGAGAAAAATCAAGGATATTAACATTCCCATTACATGCTTTCAACACTTTCTAAAATGGCTTTAATGAGCATAACCTATTACTGTTAGCGAAATTATAGCACCCGGCATGCATTGTTGTGATGTTACTTTAAATAGGGGGTTTTTGTGAGAAATAGGAACACAGATGGTCAGCTATCAACTTTCCGGATTGATTCACTTGAAAGTGATTTCTGAAACAATCTAGAGACAACGCAAAACTAAGACCTAGACTACCGGAAGAAAATAGGTTAGTTGTTCTTTGGAAAATGCAATTATTACCATAAATACAAAAATACTCCTGTTTTGTTAAGAAGTACAAAACGAGCGTCTCGCTCGCGACCACGTGTCTAAGCTTTGGATGTTCCAGGCTTCCCTGAAGGTTAAGAGAGATTGTTACTTGCCCCGTTTACACTGATAAATATAACTCGAAGGAGGAAGGATTCATTGGTGATTTCAATACGTTTTTAGTAAAAATTCTCTTTTTGCCAGGTGTTTGGCCTCAATTTGAAATTAGGGTTAATTTTAGAGCACATTTCATGCAGAAATAATTTCAAATTGTTTGAGTTAATAGCCCACTAAAAACTACCTTACAGGTAAGGTGCCTCATAGCCAACCAGTTTACGAAACTACCGATCTTGTTTGTAGTCATCCATTTTAACTAACCCAGATTTGTTTCACTTTTTAACTTTTAAAATTTACAGCATCAACATGAGGGTAACTAACAAGCGTTTTGTTACAAATGAGGTGTTAGAAAGTTACAAAAGTTTAAAATTATTAAATAAACACCTGTGGAAAAGTGAACTTGATGATATCTGGAAACTAGCAAATGAATGTAATTATAAAAGCCCAGTGTTTATTAAAAAAATAATGCTACTGTCCAGATATTTAATAAACAACCCCTTTAGTTTTTTATTAGCCCATTTACTCTTGCACTGTATACTCATGTAAAGTTGACGATGCAGGTGCAAAAACGAAAATCAAACAAAATAATTTATTAATTAATTTGATGAGGTAGGTTTTAGTAATGCAATAAGGGAGCAATTTCGGGTGATTATTCAAGCTCATGGCGACTCGTACAAAAGTTCATCATCTAACAATGCGCTTCGATATCACAAAACAAATGTTAGCGTTGATAATACTGCTCATATTCGGAATATTTGTGTGTAAAGGATGATTCGTCGACAACGTAGTAGGGTGAAAATTGCAATAAGAAATTTTTGCAGGAAGATGTGTACACCAATGTTTATGCCACTAAGTTTGAGGATTGAACGTCTAGTAACTTACTGCTGGAGGAAGGGAAAAACTGCCATGTCATGAGTCCTGCTTAAAGTAACTCAACAAATTCACACTAAGGAGAAGTTAGGAGCGAGCATATTGCAGATTTTTAACAGAATACACTTGATACTACAGGGATTCGACCAGACAGTGGCAAAAAAATGGTCCTGAAAAGTCTGTGAAAATCGCGTTGTTAGGATGACCAGAAACATTTTCTATCTAAATGTAGTTTTGTATAGGCAATCTCAACATGAAAAAAAGCCAGCTCGTAAACGACGAGTGACTTACTAAGTTCTCTTCGTGTTTTAATATTTTAATAAAATAATTTCATCCCTAAATCAATGTACATAAGTGTGTGCTGTGGTCAGACAACTCCAAAATTCAGTTTCGAGAGTCACGTCACTTCAGAGTCTAAGAGGACGCCTAGGTCTAGGTGTGATCATGATTACTGAAATTTAACGAGCAAATATACTAGGGTTAAATATATACGACTTGTGAAGGCATTATTTCACTATTATCCCAACATATCTACTCATAGAAGTGAAATTTTCTCAAATGAAGCTCACTGGAGAGGAGCTCATTTAACATTTATGTTGTTATTAAAGATGATGAAAATGAAAGATTTTATCGAAGGCACCTGTTTTACGAATCACACATTTCCCTTAGGATTAGCACGGTGTAGCATATCAAAATTTATGCATTCGATAAATGGCGACCCTTGAATGATTGCATCAACATTGATTTAATATCTACACCATTGTTTAATAAAATTTCCTTTACACCATTCATGTTTGGCATTTTTACTTTACCCTTGGATGTCTTTTTTGTCGGCAGATTTAGTTAATTTGGATAATAGGATTTTCGTTTATACACTAAATGCAACCCACATAGTAGTTTAGTTACATTGAGTGACAATCGCTAGAAGACCGCTGTAAATAAAAGCGTCGCTGTAATACCTGATTTTCGAGCTGACGAGTGGAATCCTCGCGGCTGGCAACGTGCGCTTCCCTTTCGGCGGTCAGTCGGACACTTTCACGTAGCGCCTGCTCCAACTCACGCACCCTCACGTCCTTCTCTGCAATTATGTTCTACAAAGACGAACGCAACCTGCAATCACTGCCCTCATTTGTTTAACAGATGATTTGCATCAAGACGCGAAGATCAGTTTACATAACCGGCAAATTTTAGTGTTACCGCTTAAACACTAAAATAGATCAGATACACCTTGAAAAATCTACAGAAAACATTCAAAATTCAGAAACCATAATCCTTCACGACGCTTTTAGTGTGCGGATTACGTGAATTTAAACGAAACAATGCAGTGGAGTTTAACTGTAGCTGACTATTAGCGCAGGCCAGGCAGTAGATGTTTACTTGAAAAGGTTCACCTGTTGGCATCTCAGACTGTTCTCGCGTTTCATTCGTTCCCGTTCACACGCACCCCTCGCACACCGCTGTCTCATCATGCCCGCACCCAATGTGTCGTGACGTCCCTACGCAAACCTCATCCTTGCAAGTTTTCGTATACGTCATTAATGAATAGGGTTTTACTATAGACAGCAATTTTTAGAAGACATTTTCGGATCTTCGAAATTGATGTGTATCTGGCAACTGAAATAACTTAATACGTTTGCTCAAAAAAACTGGTACTTAGAACTATATGTGGAAGAATTAATCAGATGAAGCACCTAATTTTAACTTTAAGGATTTTGGAATTTAATGAACTCATTCTAAATCAAGACCAGTGAGAGTGACATTGATTTGTTTTCGTGGAATTCTAAGAAATACTTACGTGAAAAAATACATTGGCTCTGAATTCACCTAAAAGTTACTACATTTTTATATAATTTTACACTACAACCCTAACACAAGCCGTGTGTGTTTTCACTGATTATGACGCTCCAATTTTAAAGGAAAAAAACAAGTTAGGAGAGTCTGTGAGTTATTTGGTACGGAGTTAAAAGTTAAACCTAAGTAGGATTCGGGAATTTTGTCCTCGACATTTTAATAACAAGAATCTTTAGAGTCAATCCAGACTTAAGTAATGCAAAATTCACCGGTTAAATATTGATAATTTTAACATTAACATATCAACTTGAATGTTAACAAGGCAGCCTACAGTAAGAGTCCCTATAGATGGATAGACTAACTTAGACTGAAAAATGCTAACGGCCAGTAAATATCTCCAGTTAGTTAGCAGTTAGCAAATGACAAAACAAATATACTTTAAAAACTTCAGCATCGTTTTGTATTGTATCTGCTCTCTGACGGGCTTCGTCAAGCATCTGACTGTTCTTTTTTCGGTCTGCTTGTTGTGCCCTTTTCAAATTCTCAACTTGATTCTGAGCATCATGAAGTTGTCTATAATAGATATGAAATTAAATGTATTCCAATTTAAACACAAACATGTGTTATACGCAGTAGTAAACCACTTATCAGTTTGTAATCAAGGTTCGAATAGTTTTCAAAATAAATTCTGTATCCAACAGAATATTTATTTGTAAATTTATTTATTGACTAAAGCAGCGATATATACAATAAATCACTATTTTATAAAACAAATTTTAACTAATCGATTTCAATCTTCCATTTACATAATGTTGATCACTAGTCTACAAAAATTTAAACTTAAAGAAGTAGAGACTGTTTTGACCTGCCTAAATATATTTTTTTTAATAATTCCCGTGTCATCATGTCTGTGGCCTGAACGTAAGCACGGTAACACGTAGTTTGCAATTAAGAGTTTGGAAACTCAATTTATATTAAGTGCCAAACAAATACAGAGTCGTTAAACTGGATTAAATCTTACTGGAGACCGTTTTCTTTGCAATTCAAACATATCCGACTACGACTGCATGACGATTCTAATTTGTTTGTTAGCATAACTCAAAGCCATGGTACATAAAGTATACGTACTCTTCAAGGTCATGGATCTGATTGTCCTTGTCGAGTTTGTCGGAATCCGAGGTTCGGATCATGTTGAGAAGGCGGTCGACTTCACTCTGCAGCTTCGAAGCAACGTCCATGTAGTGGTTGACCTGTGACTCGAGCTCTGCAACAGTTTTGGCATACTTCATCTCTGTCTCGTTAGCAACTTGTTTCTGGAGCTGAGTAATCGAAATGAACAAGCACAGAAACGTCACTCATTCACCAAAACTTTTCCGGATTCAACTACACCATGACACTAGAACAGATAATTAAATGATAATATAAAATAACCTGGTAAAACAGTTCTGAGGCTAGTAACATTGATGCTTCTGGAATCCTTTGGGCCGGAAGAAAGTAGGATTGTTAAAGCTTTCAAAGGCAGTTGCGTAAATTCAAACTGAGTTAGCTTGTTCGGTAAGATTTTCAGAAATCATACGTGTCATTATATGCAAAAAACGAATAAAACACTCCAAAAATGCTATACCAATAGTGGAGCAAAAAACCGATATTTACGATAACCAAAATTATGATCGTATCTAAATTAGTCCTCTTTCATACGAAAGCAATTCGTTAAGTGAATTAGGTAGTTTGCTAAAATGAAAAGAAAAAAGTATTCTTTGCATCGCAAAAAATGATTGCGAGACCATTATATTGATATTAAAGTTACATTGTGTTAAAAGCCCATTGCTGATAAAAAAAAGTCATTTTACGACATGACATAGCCTTTGAAAAGCATTTTATCTTGAACAATCTAGATTCATTTCTGTTACCGCGTGATCTTACCATCTGCTTCTCCAGTTGGAGGGCCGAGATTTCAGCTTCGCGCTGTCGTAGCTGAGCCTGCAGTTGGCTTAACTCCGTGTCGCGTTTGTAGCGAGCGGTGCGCAGTTGAGCCGCCTCCTCCCGGACTTCGCTCAGTTGGGTGGCTTTGTCGTCGTTGTCGCGGAGGGCCGCGTCCAGGCGCGCCCTCAATTCCGACTGAGATCGCCGCTGCGTCTCCGATTCCTCCGCCCACTCCGCCTCAGCCCGTTCGCGAGCTTCTTTCAGTCTATCAAAGTGGATGTGTCACACGACGCATTGTGGCATAAAGATCATGATTGTAACTTAAAAGTTCTGAGGTCAGGGGACACCGTGCACCAAGACTTCACGTAAGCTGAACGCAAACCAAACTAGGTGTGCTCACGGAGTTTGAAAGGATAACAAAAACTTGCAAACTAACCTGCCTTTTATGTCAGTTACCAGTAAATGAAGTTTAGATTGACAAGAAAAAAGGAAAAATTATAATTTGTACTTTCAGGTGACCATGATGCCGTAGACGTTTCTAGGCCCCTGGGAATAAGCGCTCACTGTGCTTCCACAGCCTGATTTGACTTTGGAGACTGTTTAAGAATATTCTGACTTTCGAATGCTACAAACTGATGCGAGGGTCCACAGGGATATTGAGAATTTGTCCATTGTCAAGGTTTAATTTATTTGCTGACTTTGGTAGAATTACATGGCCCATCACATGCTTTTAACTGGTTAAATTATTTTTTGCACCAAAACCAAAGTTGCCTTTACAGATTGAGATTTCTGAAAATACAAGTCATAATACAATAGAAAGAAGCCACTGAGACGAAACATGCCTCTCTATCTGCCTATCCTTCTCTTTGAGCGCGTCCTCTAAGTTGGTCTTTGGACTGTCCGAGTCAGTTTTCTCGTTACTGAGACGTGATAGACGTGACTTTACGCTGACTAACTGGGTCTCCTTTTCAGTAATCATTTCCTCCAAATTTTCCACCTGCAACACAATACAATATCTGAATTACGAACAAAATCAAATGAGCACGTTTAAATTGGATCATATCCCTTCCGGTATTTAAAAATCTGCAAATTTGAATCAACTACACAGCCTTTTTAGGTAGATTTATCAAAATATGCATTTTGATAAATCACCAATTGCTTAAAGAATAATTGGGTTACGATGTCAAAGTGGCTAAAATGAAAACTTCGAAGCCAACCAGAGCTTATGAATTATTGTTAGGTTTATGAAGTAACACAATAACCTCTTAGTTCATTCCCAAGTATGGAATCCTTAACCTTGCACAGGCAATTAAAACAAGGCTAATGAAAATTACAAACACAAGTATGTGCGTATGTGCATGTATTTGCTTACGAGGAGAATTGAAACTGGTCAGGCTATTAATTGAGAATACTATTCGTCGTTTAAATGTCTTTTTAGCTATCATAAGCAAAGTGATGGTCAGAGGGTATTTTTAAGGTCCCGGCGTGTGACCTGAGGCACGCCGAGGCCGCCGCCTTTTGTTGGCCCGATGACCGGAGATAACGAGAGCAACCGTTTATCGGATAGCTCAAACCAATTTTGTCGTTGTCGTGTTAATGCCTAACGATGATGCTGACCCATACAGTTTGGGGTGAACTTTGAAAGTACAAATAACTGAACCGACGGGTAGGGATGGTATTTCATGCACTGGGGTGTGTGAGCAGACAGCCCCGCTTGACTGCCGGGCACACTGTGAAAAGGGGGGCGCGGCTTGTCGGAATGAGTGGCGGCAGGGTTGGTGGACGTAAATCAACAGGATTTACTAATTGCAATTTTTTTGGGCAGAAATGTCTCTTATCTATTTGGTCTGAAAAAAAGTTAGGCTTGCTTAACCATTTGGCTACTGGAGCCTAGGTTCGACTTCGATAGCTACAATGTTGCGGTACTATGGCCTGCAGCACTCATTTTTCTGCTACAAAACAGGTTTAAGAGAACAGCGAACAATTATTCAAGTTGTATCTCAACACTACCACGAAACGGCAATCAACAGGGGTCGTCTATCTACAGATCCTAACGATGGTCGTATTTCGAACCTGATCCCAATCATTATACCAAAAAGGGCGTTAACCATGATAGATGGTGGACAGAAATCTGCCATCGTTTGCTCTAGAGCGGTGATTAACAGCATTTTCGGGGAATTTAACATCTTTGGACTTAACTCATAGGTTTGTGTAATGTTAGTTAACGATATTTTAATTAGAAGCTAAAAAGCCATAAAATTTTTTTATCCATATGCGGAACCTTAGTTGGATTCGGCATGAAATAGTTGACATGATAACAAGAACATAACTTCTGCACCAAGTGCATACATCAGTCTCAGCAACGTTTTTAGATGGCGGCGGAGACAATATGATCAGGTGGCCACCAGCCAGGCATAAGGGGCGTCTGGGTACGGGTGACTGTGGGCGAATGCATAAATCGGAGTTATCAAGGCGGTGGCAATGAATGGTTAGTAGGGGGAATGTGAAAATATTTTGATAAAATACTTTTTTCAAAGGGGTAAAACGTGTTTCTCTATATCTTCCCTAAATTGGCTTCAGGAGATTGATAACATCGCCAACTTCTTTAACGATTTCGATGACATTTATTGCTCATTTACACTCTTACGCGACTCTCGACGTTTATTTGAGATAAATATGCATAAGTAATTTGCGATATTCTGGTGTTTTTGATTTGTCTCTCCGATATGTCAATGTTTAAGTATGGCGAACTTAAAAGTTTGAAACATTGATTGCATTTTACAGTTTTGAATGAATTAAGACTGTTGAAGTATGGCATGTGTAAGACGCCAAACAGACCTTTCTCTGGAGCAAGGAAATCTTTCTATCTTTCAGGTCGACCTGGTCTTTCAACTCCGCCAATTCTGCCTCAAGCTGGCGTTTGCCCGTAGCATTTGTAGCAACCATTTTCGCCTTCTTTTCTAGTAAACCTTCCTTTTCCTTGAGACGCTTCCGGAAATCCTCTATCTAAATATACAATTAGGACAGCTAAAATGTACATGCAAAACCACAAATGCGGCTTTCTACACTAATTATTAACACTATCAGAGGCACATCTCAGAGTAAGGGCCGTGCCGCATTAGATAATCAATGGATAATTTTAAGCTGGTTGCAGTCAATTAATGTGAGCTTCCCTAAATCAAAGGTTATTTATCCAGGACTCAGCTGTGTTCACTATTCAAATTTCCATGCAGATTACCATTAGTTTTACAAAGTGTTCAGTCCCATTTTGAATAATATAACCAGTTGATACTGATGTAGCGAGATAGTCAAGACGTAGAACTTCTGGTTTTATTATTGTGCAGGACATTTTTCGACTGAATATTGTAGGTTTAATGCTATATACACACCCACATTTGAAGTTATCTAGCCAAGGCGACAAATCATTACACCCGAATGATGAAAATGAGTTTCAGAAAAATATAATTTCCTGCACTATCGATTTTTAGTTTCTGTCCTTCATAGTTACCTTTTTGACTACAAAACACCAAAATTCAGAACTTTTAGCTTTGTTTCGACAACTAGAAGCAAACAAAGTACGATTAATTTATTCTGGATAAAGCACATTTCAAACTTTAACCAATCCAATCTGTGATGCTTAAATAATTTAAGATTTATTTTTTTTCTAAAAGGCTCATCAAGTGCCATTTTATAATGATATCAATTATTAAAAATTTAAACAATGTACTCACATCTGCAGTGAGCATAGTTATCTTGTTTTCCCGAGCCTTCACTTGTTCCTTGAGCACACTGATGTGGTGATTCTGATCCTGTTGCTGCTTCTCAGCCATTTCCAATCGTGACTGTAGCGCATATATTTCGTTATCACGCTTGGACAACTCGCTGGTTAGGTATTCAACCTTTGTAAAGGCAAATGAGCTGCTATTTAACTCAAACGCGAAGTAGTTGATAAGGTCTCAAAACTAAATTTCATGAACGGCTACTTCAGGTCTTCACTAGGCATCCAAAGAGCATCTAAATCAATTATCGTTAACAGTTTCGGAATTTTTCGGAAGTTTCTTGTATAATTGGTGTTTGTTGGCCTCTGTTAGTAAACTCACATCACTAAGGGGAACCGAAAACTTTCATTGATTTTATTATAAATTACTACTTCTCTGCTGATAGGAAATTCCAGCTCACCTTCGATTTGAGCAGACGCTCGTTGCTTCTGAATGTGTTTAGGGTTCGATCGACGTCTTCAATTCCGCTGCTCAGAGAGGTATTCGGTGTTGCGATACCCTCATCGCGAAGTCTGGAGATTTCATCTTCCAGCAGACGAATTTCATTCTCCAATGTCAGTATTTTAGATTCCTAACATATAAGAATAAATACAAACTACTAATTGTCATTTTACAGTAATAAGTAGTGTTTTTTACACAAAGATCTCACAAATAATAAGTACACGTGTTTTCGTTTGATTTAATAAGAGTTCTAAATTTAACACAATTATATTTCCAAGTTCATAATTTCTGGATATTGTACAGAATCTATTTAAGCAGTCAAAAATAATCGACACATACAGTTTTTGTTTTATTTAAGAAATTACTTCGGACTGGATGCTTAGAGGGCTGTACAAAAAGAGCATTATCATGGTCATGCTCCGATTTTAAAATCTTTGGACACGGGAAGTTTTTCATTTCCAGAAATTTTCATAAAGTTCAATTTACATTAGACCTTCAAGAACGTCGGCGTTCAAAAGGCGAATACAGTCAAGTTATCGTAACATTAGAGTTCAAGGCTCAGGCTAAAAGAATATGGTGAAGCAACATTTACCTTGGTGTCCACAATGGCTTGGAGAGTTTGAGTCTCGCGAATGTTTAGTCTAAGCCCCTCGTTTTCGTGCTTGATTACGTCCAATTCTTGAGTCAAGCCATCTATTTCCTACAAACAGACGAAAAATCGTCCTAAATGCCATAAAAATTATTCTGTCAACATGATAGATAAAGTCACATTAAAATTTAGTGTAATCTTGGACATCTGCATGAAAGTAGATGTCCGAGACGTAGAAACAAAACCTTTAAGGATGGAGACTGTAATTATCATATCAAAGGTATGAAAAACATTAGAGTCGATCGGTAGGCGTTGAATAGATTCTAATTTGTTTGGAAAACAAAACAGTAGCCTCTTCCTTTATGACTATTTTTCATGTCACAATTTGTATTAGGTGCTTTTTCTCAGTAATCAGAACTTTAAACACTGCGCAATATTTTATGGCCTTTGCAATGACTTATTTTGCAAATATGGCTGACTCCACTTGGAATTCCCCGAATACTCTAGGGATGCGCGAAATTTCATCAGCAGGTGAGTGGTAAAGTCCATGTCAAAAGTAGAACATGAAGTTTGAGAAGAGGGACAAGACACTCCTTTGTGAATCGCGCTCTTCAATGTGTTCATTTGATTCTGTGTTTGTAGTGCCATTGGCAAGTCTATGTCAAACCACCGTTGTACAAATAAATGACTCTCAACGATTAAATGTCGTTTTTGGTTTTGTTCTGGTTTTGGTTTTGGACCAAAATAGCACCCTGTTAAATAAATTCTTAGAATCCAGCAATAATAGGTGCGTTGGCAACACATGATAGAATACCCTGCAAATCTGCCTTACATTACTATTAGGATTTCTGGTACACTAACACGAATTGCTCCACCACCTGAATCAAATACCGCTTAACAAGTCGGCAAAACCTTGATTTTGGCTTGGAAAACGGGCACACCCACTCAGAAATCTTAATCTAATTTTTTTTAAATTTGCATTACTATACTGACCTGCAATATGTGTTGGCTGACGTGGAGAGCAGTCGTGTTGGATGTTAATCTTTTGTACCGCTCTTTCTGAAGAGACTGTAAGTTCTAAATTTTGAGCCAATTATTTGGTCTAGGATTTAGTTCAACCCACGATGGGAAACGTCAGACAAATATACAATGTTAAACTTATGTTTGTATCGCCTTGGCGAGCTACGTTTGACCAGACTCCGACCACAATAGAGTCATGCCACATTATGGGTTTCAGCTAAATGTGTAGGATCCGTCCGCGTTAAGATTAAGTGATTTATCTCAAAATGAGTGTACAAGTTAATTTTATGCACCAGAATCAATTCGAATTTTTACTTAGTCAAGACACGAAGAATAAGAAACCTGATTATGAATAGGGAGCGTGGGAATTTTAGTAACCACTTAATGCCTACTTCGTCTATCACGCATGAGGCGTCTAGTTGTTGCCCAACCCAAGACCCAGAAGCATTCTTTTTTAAATGCGAACAGTCACAATCTTAATCATTACGACCCATGACCTCAACCAAATCAATTTATTAGGTCTACATCCAGCTTCTAATTACGAACGGCCTTTACGCATCACTCCTCAAATGAGGCTAGACCACGTTCGCGATTCCAACCCTCCGGACGGCGAGTGGATTCACTTACACACACACGCGCGCGCTCAGAATCAATGCTAACTGATTACTTCTCAGCCAAACTAACCAATCAGGTAGCTCCAAAAAACCGGCAGATGTAGCTAAAATGCATCCTTTCCCTCTATTCGATGCAGACTAGACCAATGGAAAAGGATGCTTTGAGTAGTCTGTGAAAAATAGCTTCAGAAAAAGTGTTTAGACATAAATTTGCTGATAAGCATTCAAATTAAAAAAAAGACTTCAAATGTGGAATTGAAAATGGTTCAAGCTTAAAAAACCATTTAAGATTTGCAAGAATTCAAACCTGACTAATTTCATTGCCCCTAACAGTGACACAACTTTAGCTTCGTAATTTCAAATTTGTAAAAGAATTTCTGCTCTGTGGCATAAGTAATTCCTTCAATTAGTTCAAGTAGCATTTATTCAATCCAGGTAAAATGTTCCTTATTGTGACATTCTGAGAAACGAAAAAAGCAAATATGAACATGATGTTGTTCAGGAACCAAATATCGTTTTCCCAGTCAGGTTACCCCAGTGGATCAAAAGGACCTTCATGCATTCGTAATAGTTGAAAAATACTCTGCCGTAACTTTCCAGTTAACTTTGGCGCTCCAGTTTGTACGATTTTTAGGTTTTGCACAGATGTCGGCAACGCAATTAACAATAAGCGCATACTTTTAACGTATCAGTCGACTACAATCTAAGGTTGTTTTCATGTTCGTGTTCAGTTGAGTATAGTCAGACAGGTGACGGTGCTCAAAATCTCCTAAATTTAATTTACAGGGTTTTTCAATTAATGCCATTTACTTTCATATGATCATTTTAAGAAAAAACCTGGATGAAACCTACAGCGTTTACTGAGAATTGCTGCGAACTTTCGTAAAAATTTAATAAAAAAACTTACATCTTTTAACTGGTTTCGTGTCATTTCGCATTCAATGAGAGCTTTTTCGGCCTCGCTTCCTCGATGGAAGGCTTCGTTTAATTGTTCCCGAAGTCTTTCGATCTCGTTCCGATCAGATTCTAAGCGGTCAATGCGGATGTTAGATAAACCTGAGTCGCCAGACTGTGGTGGCGCTTGGTCCGTTTTGCTACCCGGCTGCTGCTGTGGCTGACCTGCCTGCTGTTGTTGCTGTGCTGCCACGGCTTTTCCCGATTTTACGGCCTCAACCAATCGACGAAGGCTTTCTTCCGTGGCCATTAGACTAGCTTGAAAACTTGAGGACCGCTTTTCAGCCTCTTCAATTGATTTGCTGAGAATACGATTTTCACAGGTCAATTCGTCTATTCGACGCCTTGTTACCTCTAGTTCATTTACTTCACTTCCGTCAGCACCAATTCTGTATCTGACTGTATTTTTTTCGCGTTCTCTACGCAACTCAGCGTCGGAATTGTGTAGGGCTTGGAGCATTGTCTAGGTATTAGAATTTACAACACATATCTTAGTTTGACATCGAATACGAGAACCAAATCAAATTATCATGAAACGACGAATCCAGTACATTTAGTGTTGCTATGGATATTAAAAAGGACCATTTTCGTTATTAAACACAAGCCTTTACTATAATATTAAAGTTTAAATCTACCGATCGGATCTACTACAATTTTTATTGGCCTTAAATTAGTCTTGGAAGACATATTGAAAGGAACATATTTGCGTCCGGTGGATAGAGTAACTTGCTGTCAGTAATTGCATCAATCGGGTTATTAAATTTCGTCTAAAAATTGATTGGCAGAATTTATTCTAATGCTAGTTGAAAATTATACTTTTTACCCCATGTTTTCCTTGTAGCTTCAAAGCATATATTTGAAATAAGCACCAACGCTTAATAAACTTGAACAAACCTGCTTTTCTAGCTGAAGCTGGTGCAAGTGGTCTGCAAGGATAGCATACTTCGCGTTTTCCTCTTTCCGCATTGCACGCTCTCGCTTAAGCTCTGGACTCCAAAAGGTACGTATACTTGTCATACAGGCGTTCAATTTTTCTTTGGTAACATCCAACTCTTGATGAAGCCGAACGCATTCGCGCTGAAGACTTAACACGTTAGCGCTGTTCGAGGATATCATGACCCCAGAAGTGTTTGATGAACCATAGTCCCCATAGATACCTGTTGCTGCGTTAGGGTAACCAGCAACAGGGGTCATTGGCAGCCCAGCATTACCCAATCCGTCAATTCTCCCACTTTCCACGTTCCCATATGTGCTATATGTTCCTCGATTTGGAACAACAGCAGAAGATGTTAGTCCGCTGTTATATTCATAAAGGCCTTGTCTTTCCAAATTCATATCATACGACTGAGCTCGACGATGTGACGACGACTGGGCTACAGGCAAATGAGAGATTGGAGGCTGATATGAGTAATTCTGGCTTCCACCATATCCATATGGATATACTGATCTATTGTATCGTTGACCAGCACCAGAATAATAACCACGAGGGCCAGATTGATAATTTGGTGAACGGTCGACCGATGCAGAACGACCATCAAAGGGTGAATTTAAAGTGTGATGAGGTCGAACATGTGAAGCACCTTCTTGATTGTAAAAGTTACTCTCAAATGAATCCGCATAAACAGGATCACGGGCGCTTGACGGTCTTGGTCGATCTGAAAAACGAGGTGGAATATTGGACATAAAAGGATACGGTTGACTTGTGTTATTCATATTTGGTATGTTTAAGTAATCTATTTACAAAGCTCGCCACACATTTTTTGGCTAACTGTTGACTTCTACGACAAATAAACTCAAAATCCCCAAAACTGCAAAATTATAGTCGTCTTTAGCGCTGGACGCCAGAAAATGCCTAGAGGTCAGGGAGTCATCAAATGAGTCGATAAAACAAGTGAATTAAGTAATAGTCGAAAAGGCATTTAAATTAAGACTAAACAAGAACAAAACACATATTTTTAATTAAAAACAATATATTATGCATAATCATTAACGCTGCTTATTTTTTAAACCATGCCCATAACTAAACTTCAAAGTGTTAAGCAAACTCTTAAACGTTCGAAAAATAATTCTTTAAGTGTTACTAGGTTCTATCAACAAGGCAATAATCAATAAATATTTGTTATAGAAATAAATATCTGCATCTTAAAAATAGCATGTATTTAACGCTTACACGTATAAAAATTACCTTCTACGAAAATTTAGCATCATTAGTTGGAAACAAGCTGACTTTTGGCTTTAATCCAATTACTTTAAAAAGCTATAACATTTTACTCGCTTGTTTTTAGTTTATTTAAATGTTGAATAAATATAAGCAGATTAGACCTTAACGTGGTTCATGAGAATATGCAAAAATTTTTTGTTCCAACTTTGCTTGAAAAGTAAAAGTATTTATTTAAATTATTTTTATTAAACTTAACTAGGTATAAACAACAATATTCCCTTTTATGTTCTAGCTATTCAGTGAACATTTTTCTAGCAAGAAAACGGCGTTTATATTCGGAAAAACCTTTTTGCGTAAAAATATATTATCCCTAAATATAAAGGTCCTTTTCTTTATCTTCGCCCTTTTATTAAAAAAAATTACAAGTCATTGTGATCGCATTCTTGACGTTCACCTACATCTCTTTGAGAACTATTTAATTATTTTCCCTACGGAAAATAGACCATCTGTGATGCGCTTTAATCCCCCTGAATTTAAAATGTCACTAACGGTTTTACACAGCATTTAGATCACTATTTTTTGACCTAAAGTATTTATTTAAAAGAAAACAAACCATTTGTCTAATTGAACGCAGAATCGAGTAAATAAAGGTACAATAAATTGGAATGACCACATCATCCCGAAATGTTGCAATCCGCCTTCGTGAAAGCAAGATCGCCTGTTTAGTGCGGACTGTCGACATCGTCTTGCAACAAGTCATGTTTTACAATGGCTATATGTTCAAATATTGTACTAAAAAAACTAACTTATTTGGTTGAATATATTGGGCTCGTAATTTTATGTCAGCTTAGTTTCCAATATACGCCCTCTGTATCAACAAACAGGAGTGAAGTTAGTGGAAATCAGACGTTTTCACAGAAAAACGAAATACGTATGTGAATTTTTGTTTGCGCTAGATCATTCTTCTTTTAGTATGTGGTCACTCCGATGTCCGGAGACCTTCTGCATTATCGCGCATACATTCGTGTACTGTAATCGAGGGAAATCTCCTAATCGTTATGACGGAGCTTCC